TCTAGTGGAAACGTCATGGCCGACGCCGGGAGAGTAGGGGCTGGGTACGCTGCCGCGGCTGCGGTGGTTGTCAGTCTTTTAGCTGGGATGGCGATGCTTCTATAGGGCATATTTGCGTGATAATCCGGAGGAGTAACGGCGTAAGAATAATAATGTCGACGGCGGATTTTGTTGATGGCATGGAGTATAGTGTTGACCTGTTGGGTTTTGTCTAAGGTGGGAAAGGAGAAGAGAAGATTTAGACTTATTGAGTCGTCATGACCTATATGAATAGGCCAATAATGAGAAAGAGATGCCGCGCTATGTCGTAGGATTATAACTTGAAGCTAGTCTTCGCGCAAGCCGCTAGTACCTGGATCTCCTACACAAATGGAAGCAGCTGTGTTGTCTGAAGGCAAAATCCACTAATTCGCAGCAACATTTGTGCCAGTTTGCTCCTTGCCAATCTCAAGTATGGATCATAGTTGAAGTCTTCAAAGCAACCGCAGTTTGATGAGAGAAACTCTGCGCTTTCTTACCTCAAAATCATCTCACTCGGCCTGGACACCTTTCAGAAGGGACTCGGCGATGAAGACCTCCCGCGGTTAAGCAGAACTAATCGAAGCCGCTGATTGGCTGAGCTAACTTGACTCAGAGATGCGGCAACCGCAGCGTACGGTGGGAAACGCTCATGAACTGGACGTGGAACGTCACGTACCTATGACCAAGAAGGTAATTAAATAGTATTTCTGATTAGATCATTCGGTTATCATTCTGTACGCTGATGTATAAGTCCCTGTCTACCGTACCGTGCGCATTGTGGCTTCTGACGCAGCAATTCGCTTCTTCCCTATGGATAATATCTGATCAACTAAAAGGGACCACCACCTACAGTCCAAGGCATCACAGGTTCTGACATTTGCAGACTTTAGTCTGGGTCTAAATGGCCACCGAAACGAATAAACTCCTGTTCTAGCACCTGTCAGCTCCTGGCTATCGGATGAAAGTTTGAGCGGAGGAGACGATGGAATTCCGCAGCAGTTGTCTTGCTCATCAGGCAACAGGATGCGCCCACCCTTGTCTTGGCCGCTGGTTTGCATTGCCTCGTTCCCACCTCCCGCCACAACTATAAGTATCATACGAATGCCCTTCAAATTTCAGTCTTGGTCTCCGGCATCAATTCAACTCAACCGGTTCTTCACCTCCTCCCCTTTTGTCATTTAATCTCACCAAATATTCCCGGGCCTAATCAAGACTTTCTGATTTCCCCGCTGCGGCCAAAGCACTACTCCTATTAGCGAGGCCACCAAAGCCGGTAAACATGTCGTCAGACATGGCTCACAACAAGGAGTACCATGTGCGAGACTTGGCCACTCGATCCGTCACACTCTATCCTAATAGTGCCCGAGTTGTGAGAGACTTGCGCAACATACAACTCAAGGTGAGGACACACAAGTATCATGTATCGGTATCTTGTCCCCTGGCTAACCCTAGTAACTAGCCCGGCGCTAACGAAATCACCATCTTTGGCTTGACTCCAACTGTGGATGAATCTACAATCAAGGTAGACGGGACCGGCTCAGCCATCATAACTGACATTGCCATTGAGTTTGTTCCCAACCGCGAGAGCTTCCAAGATGTCTACCCGGACTCTGATGACGAAATGTCGGATGCACACGAAGAATTGGATGGAGAACCAGAAGAAGACGTAGACGAAAACGAAGAGCCTTCCGCCCTCGATAAGGTGCGAGTCAAAATCAGAAAACTTAGAGATGAGGAGCGGAGTGCCAAAGAAGCAGTCGAGAGTGCAGCCAGTCGTCTCAAGATCCTTGACGCTTACGGCAATTCACTTGACAGCAAAGAAGGAATCAACATCGCCGACAGCATCGAAACCTACCGGGCCGAGCGAGATCGGATTTTTCAAGACCACGTAGCCGGAGTCACTCGCGGACAAGACAACATGAAACGCCTTAGCATCTTTCTCGAGCAAGAAACTCGGCTCGTCAAGAAGCAGAAAAGAGAGGCGGCGGAGACGACGCGTGCTATGAAGAAAGCCCGGAAGGAGCGGGACAGGCAGGCGCAGAAGGATGCCAGGGAGAAGGCGAAGCTGCAGAAGGAAAAGGCACGAATTCAGGCAGAAAGGGAGCGCTTCTGGCCCAAGTTGTGTTACTCTGTCCGGGTCTCTCTCGAAGTGGCGGCTTTCACTCCAACATCCTCTCGTCGGACATCAGTGTCGAGTGAGACGGCTCAGGCTTGGACATCAACGTCTGAAAAAGCCGACGAGGGGAAGGACGTCATCTGCGATCTTTCCTTGTCGTATGTCACCTCTTCCGCGTTCTGGGCTCCGAGCTACGACTTGCAATTGTTCACTACAAACAACATGGGGATATTGTGCTACGACGCCCGCATCACCAATAAGACTTCCGAAACATGGAGAAACTGCAAGGTCGTTCTTTCGACTTCCCAGACGACGTTTGCCGGACTCGAGAATGCCATACCCACGCTGAAGCCATGGAACATCAAGTTGGCACCGAGAGAAGGCAATGCGGCCGGGACAGACGTCCTTTCCAGTCGGGAAGAGCGCCAGCAACGAAGTGACTGGTGGCGTGCTCAACAGACAAAGGCGCAGCCTCAGAGACCTCGCAACGATCTGTTCGGCGTAGACTGCAACAATGCCGGCAATAGTGCCGCGGATCTAGCAACCTACCAGCAAAGTCTCATGGTACTTCGACAGGATTCGAAGAGCCCACGACGGATGATGCACCCAGCAATAGGGCAAGGACAGGCTGCACAGGCACAACATCAGGCGCAAATGCGAGCGCAAATGCAGGCGCAAATGCAGGCACAACAGCAAATGCAGCAAATGGCACAGGGACAGCAAATGGCACAAATGCAGCAAGCTCCTCCACAAGCACCAAGGCTTCAGGAGCCGATTCAGGAACAGATGGGATCCGAAGCTTCCGAGGAAGACGATAACATCGTTTTCCAAGAGTCTAGCATTGAAGAGACGGGTTTCACTACGACCTACGACCTTCCAGGCACAAAGACGCTGCCACCTCGCCCGACGGCATCCAAGCAGCGTGTCGCTCGTCTCAACTTCTCCAACATTGCCTTCAGCCATACAATCATTGCAAAGTACAAGCCCGTCGCGTACCTCAAAGCAAGAATCCGCAACAGCAGTCGGCTCACGCTGCTTCGAGCAGAAGCAGGTCTCACTCTCGACGGCACCTTCATGGGTCGCACCCACTTGCCACGCTGCAGCGCCGGTGACGTCTTCTCTCTCGGTCTTGGTATTGATCCTGCGATCAAGGTCAACTACCCCAAGGTTGACGTCCGACGAACGACGACTGGACTCTTTTCCAAGGAGAACAGCTCCGTGTACAGCCGCAGCATTACTGTGTTCAACTCTCGTGCTTCGGCAGGTAAACCCGTCTCGCTGGTTGTGCTTGACCAGGTTCCTGTGTCGGAGGACGAGCGTCTCAAAGTAGATATCTTGGCACCCAAGGGACTTGTTGTTGATGGATCAGGGGTCTCCACAGGGCAGCCCGCTCGCGAGAGTAAGCAAGACGTCGACTGGGGCCAGTCGACAGCAACAATGAAGGGGCGTCAAGGTCAGGTAGAGTGGCAAATTAAGCTCAATGCTGGCAAGGCTGTGAAGCTTAGCTTGGAATATGTTGTTGCTCTCCCTTCAGGAGACTCGGCGATGGAATGTTCATAGCCATAACTTGGCGGAGGTCTCAGGAAATGGATCGACGAGGTTTCTGGGATCACGAAATGGCATCTCTTTGGTTTGATCCGTGTAATGTGGAAATATCATGGGCTAAGAGTCAGTTTATTTGTTGTTTTCAATGAAGAATCTTACGAATGTTTTGGAACTATCCGTCACTTTGTAAGATCACCATTGCAGTAAGATCAAACCTGTGGATACGATTGCCTATAACGAAGTGTTCCGAGTGCAGTTCCGCTATTTGGCAAAGCACTATCGGCACGTCGCCGAAATCAGCCGCCGGAAACTTAAGCCGGAGAAAGGCTCTAGAAGCTGTTCAGAAAAATAAATTCTATTCGGATTAAACGTTACCCGGCGGGTTATTACCCTTTTCCTCCTCAGCCACCTTTGTAACAATGCTCGCTTAATTATCGCCGACAATGTCAAACAAGTCGGAGATTTCGAGCGGAACCAAAAGAAGGGTGGGCATTTGATACGAACCCGTGATTGACTTCGGACGGAATTGGGACCAATGGAAAGTTAATCAGATCTTACATAATGTTTCGACATATCCGATTCTGGCATTTGGTGGTAAACAAGTTGCCGCCAATCTTCGGACCAGGCCTTCCAGGCCCAGAAGGTCCGAGTCCGGGAGCACGCAACTTGTGCCTCGTAGTTAACGAATCTGGCATTTTGTAATTGCCGGGCGTGAAACAAGTGAAAGCTCATTCCAGAGACGCGATTCCAAGTTGATCCTACGAGACGAAGCGATTGTCTCCCTTACCTTTGGTAATACCAAGTCAAGGGAGAACGGGCAGGGGGCGAGGACTGACGCCTTGCGCAAGAAATGTCAACGTAGGGCTATACGCTACAATCTCAACGGTCGCATAAACCTGTCAATCAAACGTTTTTATTTTAGATCTTTCTATTTATGTAATTTGTTCTCATGGCTCTGTGCTCGGTTCCCGTGGTACCTAAACCACGCAAGTAGACGATGCAACTGATTACGCTCCCATTCTCCAAACACTTTGCCGCCTGTTGGTGATGAAAACCCCTTTGTGTCATACAATGATCGTCCTTAACGCCAACTAGTTGGATCTCCAAATTACTCAGTCTCGACCTTCAGTACTGGAGACTTTGGTCGTTCGCCACGACGAGGCCGGCGGCAAGGCCGAGGAAACAAGTTATTTCGCAACCGCAAGTGAATCTTTTTGAAATGTTCTCTCTGCAGGTTTTGTTAGCACAAAATCCTAGAAAAAGTTTGAACTCGTGATCTTAAGAAATGCAAGGCCAAGTAATGGCTACCATAACGTACCATATTGTCTTTCCGACTGAAGATTCTCCCACAATCTTGATGAGGACACTTGATAGTCGGCCTGTGGGAGCCCATATGCCTCTGATAGTCCTTCCTCGTCGCAAATCCCACGCCAGCATTTGCACAAGGCTTCTCCGTGCAGAAAAAGTACTTGTCGTGTCCACGAAAGTGTTTCCGCAAATCGCAAGCACGCATAAACACGCGTGAGGATCGACACCCCTCAAACTTGCAGCGCCAGTTGCCGCTGGCGTCAAGATAGCCCATACGACGGAGGTCTTCCGGCTCCCAGACCTCCTCCTCGCGGTCCTCTGCCGGGCTCTGAGACCCTTCGCTGGAGCTTAGAATGTCCCAGTTGGGTGATGGCACCGCTACCTGCATCATCGGTGGTGTTGAGTGCGTGAGTATTTGTGTGTTACTGGCCTCGACCAGATGATTGGGATCGTAGTGTGGCATGGCGCCGGAGGTCGTGCCTAGATACGGCAAAGGCTGGTAAATGGGGGCGATGGAATCTGAGTGCAACGTGGGCTGAAACCATTCTCCGGTGTAGGTAGAACTGGACGGTCCGATGCTGTATGAGCATTCCATGCTTCGCGGCTCAGCCTCGGGGTAGGGGCTCAATTCATTGTGGCTGATATGGCTGTGGCCGTACTGCAAATACGGCTGCTCCATGTTGCTTGTGGTCTTGTCGTGCCTTGCAGAAAAAGTTGTCATTCACTGGATTATCTCGAAACTGGTAGTGATAAACGATTCATTCAAGTATGGCCGCAACGGATGAATGTCAAAAAGAGGCCGATAGCTCCGAGTTAAAGAAATCTTCCTACCAGACGAAGCGACGGAATTGTCAGCCGTGATATATATGGGGTGGTGATAAACTCTATTGTAAAGCCCTTGTCAATAGCACCGCGCCGGTATAGTATTTTGGGGTCGCTGTTTCAGCAGTACGTACTGGATCTACCCAGCTCCCACAACTCTCGGCACCCAGGCTCTGGCCGCCGAGATGTTCGGCCCCGGTAACACCTGGGCAAAGTTGTCGGCAGCAAAGCGTGGGTGCAGCCACTCGGCGACTACTTTAGTCTCGTCGTTATATTACCAAGCAGTGTGCCCATGAATGTGCTGGCCCGGTTCCCCCGGTCCGGGATCTCCCCCGTGAATTGGCGCTTGGATTCCCCAGTACCACGGCTTGACGGACTATGAAGGCCAAAGCCCCTGTTAATGTCAGTGTGTTCGCGTAGGGCTTCGAATTCAACCCCCCCGAGTGGATGGGTTCGAGTCCGAGGGCAGTGCTACCGTAGCATCACAGTGATACACTCAAGCTCGTAAACGACTTGAGGCAGAAGAGATTTCTATGTCCTGATAATAATGAACCCTGTCACATTACGCCTAGTGCTTAAAGGTAATCTACTGGAAGTCGTTGATTACGGGCACAACTGTCTGGTCCTGGAAGCTGTTGGGTGAATGTGCTTCTTCTCCGTCATCAGCTCATTCGTAAGAAGGTAAAGTCGTGGAATCTTTTGAATCAAATTCGTGCCAAAGTCTTACTCGTTTTCGTTATTTGAACATACCATTTTACCTCCCTCCATGTAGCACTGAACTTGATTGCGTACAAGGAAATCATCTTTGCATTAACCGGAACTTCTAGGGATCGAGCCAATATATTTCTTCCAGATACTCTATTCTCAATTTCTTCTCAACTTTGCTATGTTCCAAAAAGCTCTTGGCAGTAGATTGAAATTCAGGAGAAATCAAGCAGTAAGCCATCGATGCAGCACAGATACGCCCTGCTAACAGTCAGAAAAAATAGGTAGGAAGCGGGTACATTGGCTAAATTGGGACCCTTCAAGCTGGGGTTCCCTGTAGCTATTGGTATAATTGAGTACATGGGAACGAGTCGAAGTAAAGATGTTAAAGGTTAGCCGCAATCGCTTAGGGATGTGAATTCCAGCATTGCCAAAAGTTCGGTTTCGCATTTTACGTCGACGGGCAATGCCTATGGTATTCACACAATGGCGCTACGTCACTTGGATGAAGACAAGGGATAAGAGGTGCAATAACTACATAGAGGGAGAACGCCAGAGATTTTTGAGCGACACGTGTGCAATTTTTGAGAAATTTAAGACCGCGAGATTTGGATAAACGCTTATTACTTACACAATTGTGCTCTTTTCAGCAAGACTGACGTATGATTTTAGACCGTTCATTATCATATTAGAACCTGTGTCGTCCCCCTAGTATCCATGAGTATGATCGGCAGAGAGCCATTCCTCCTCCCCTCACTTGATCCACTGGACCAACCAACCATGGCCTACATGGGCCCGCCAATTGCCCAAGAAATGCCGACACACCAGTCTTAAACCTCCATCTTTTGCTCCATATCAGAGCATTTTATGCGAGCAATACCCAGTGATAAGACTCGTGTGGAAATTCGTCCTGGAGAAGCTAGATTACTTTCACGCGAGACCGAACTTCAGGCCGGCCTCAAGTTCGCGGAATCCGTGGAACAGTCAGTACAAAATGATGGGACGGACGTGGTAAGCAGTTCTCGAACATTCACGCGGTTTGACGAGAGATTCGTGATGTCTCTTGCGTACGGCGGTTCCGCCTGCTAGCCTCTGTAGACATCGGCAGTTGCAAATTCTCGTCCGATGTCCGGCCACGGCCTCGCAGATCCGGTCTCCGGGGGGCCTGTAAGCCCGGACGTTGCACTTAACGGCTGCTCCGTTATTGGATCATGCGGGTGGTTTGCATTGCGACTGGCTCCTGAAAGCTGTCATTAGTCCCGCTGATGGACTGGGGGGCCCTGCTCAAGTCACTTGTCTAAGTCGTGTAGAGTTTCGAGTTGCATCTGGCAAGTTGCCAGAATTATCTCCAACCTGTTTTTGGATAACGGCTGCATCAGCTTCTGATCATCGATTGCCTCTCCTGGAGGTTTGCAACGTGCCCTGGTCTTGACGATTTTCGGTGTTGTGTTTTCGCTGCTTCTCGAAATGGTCTAGCCTGGAGTCATGTGTTGATACCATTGGAATGACTCGACAAGAACATCGACCAGGTAGGCTACAGCTCTTCGTGCTATTGCGAATATTGTCTTCGTTTCCGCAGAAACTTAGTGTGATCGACAATTCATCCGACTCTGGGAATCCACCAACTGAGACATCTATCGTAGGTACTTCAGTATCTTGGATTCCTTCGTTGCAAATAAATACTTACTTGCATCTCTAAACCCAGGAGTACAGTAGTCGTAATTCTACGACCACCTCAAAAAGGCCACAGAAGACGTCTTAAACATTCAGAACTAGTCCAGTGCTCAACGCAGATAACTAGTACAATGAGCTTTGGTATAGGTACCCGCCTCCTTGATATCTATGTCTTCTTCTTCCTTTTTTCGCTTCATCTCCTCTCTCCTTCATTTCTTTCTCTTGTTCCTTCATCTGCTTCACTCAACCTCTCACTAATCGTACTAACATTTACGAGATGAGCGGTTATTTGTCAGGTAATTTACTGCTACATAAATGGCATGCTTGAGGATAATATGACACATAATGTACTCTAGCAGAGCAATCATGTTCTTTCCCTAAACTAAAATCTGGAATCAAACTTTCTTTGTTGCCAAGAAGCCAGCCAACACGGCAGATACTAGCCTGCACTTCGCCATGGAACCGTTTGGCGACGCACCTCGGTTCTCCGGCGACCAGACGATACCTACTCAGCAAGGATCTATCGAAGGTCTTCGAGCCTAGCTGGATCACTATCAGCGGGGCCATACGATGTCGGAACTGGTTTAGACTTGCTGAGCAGTGATCTTCTGATGGCTTGTTCGGATTTTGCCGAGAGACTGACGGCATCTCCTCCCCGCAAGCCGTCTTGGCGGTCACGGCTCATTGGAGGGCTGATACAGCCTTTAAGTCCCTGAAAAGCACTGAAAAGTATCCGGGATTCTGACGTGATGTTGCATGAATTATAGCTTATCTATTAATGAGGTGACAGCGGTAAGATAGACGATTATATCCTGTCTCGACAAGGCTGTTGACAGCTTCATTATTCGGCGTTTTTCCGTTATCTTAAGTCAAGTTGGGCATGCCCCCTGAGATGTCTTTGAGAATTCCAGAGTCAGAGTCTAAACGTTGAAGCAGTAATAGCTTCGCGCGTTCTGCTAAGCACAATATCCTCAACATATCTTGAGGAATGTTTCTTCCACCGTTTCATTGAAAATAACACGTAACATCTTCCCGTGCCGAATTCTGTGAGCTTCTTGCATCTGATGCACCAAAAACGGTGGTACTCGTCTCACAGTGTTTGGCGATGAGGATCATCTGTGCTACTGCGATATTTAAGTCGTTACTTGATAACACTAGCGCTTCCCAGCAGATATCATAGTGCCGTACGAGACCGCTATCCCATCCCTGCTGAATGGCGTCAGTACATCGTCACTTGGGGTAATAAGGAATTACATATAAATTCTCATTAATCCGTACTAGTCCCGTATTGATACCTACCTGTGTACCCACCCAAAGAAAAGGCATCGCTGTTGGAGAACACTGGAGACCTGTGTGCTGATGCCTTACAGCATTCAATGGGAAATCACTACGCAAAGCGTGCGGGCCCTTTGTTGGACCTATAATTCAGAAGCTCGTAGAGAGAAGTAGATTGAGAGGAATGCTCTCGGTATAGACGCTGAGACCCCGCCCTAGCCGACGTGAAACACTGCAAACCCCTCATTGAGTATCTCTTGGCTCAGTTAGACTGCTTCCTTCTCTGAATAAACTTTGCCTCATCTCTCATTCCGCTCGTCTCTGTTTCTACGCCGATTGCTTTTGTGATTACCTTAGGAATGTACTCTCAACGAATTTTAGCCAATAATTGTGTATGCTTGCCATCATCAGAGATCAATACTACGAAGCCTTGGTCAGGTTGACTTATGTTGGTATGGTAAAGCAGTATGATGAACAGTTGCCCCATTTAGTGCGGAACAACGCCCACACTTTTATCCTTTGTCTTTTAAGCAGCACTTTGCTTAATGCAATACACTCAAAGTATACCCTCCAGCTGACTTTTTGACTGAGGATGTTCATAATCAACTGGTTAGTTCATTCCTTTTTGGGCGATAGTTTGGCTGGATTGGTTGCAAATAGTCGACCAACAGTCACCTTATGTTAGCTTAGGAGCCCGTCCTCCTGGCTCGCAGGCACTAATTACTCTCCTCCTTTCAGACTATATTCAATTCAGATGTCAAGGAGTCTCTAACCAATCGTGAGAAGGGTTCTGAAAGCCCCACTCTACCACATACATATATCCCATCAACTGCTACCTTAGATGGCGTCACTGCATCCGTCTCCAGGCTTACTCTAATTTTGCTCTATTTCCCTTATATCCGCCTATGAATAATCTCAAAATAGATCAAACTTGGAAAAAGACTGGAGACGGATATAGTGACGCCATCTAGCAGTTGATGGGATATTCCAACTCTAGAAACACAATCTCCATTGCTTTCCCACATAAGTTAGCAGCTCAAATCCGGCTCTCCAGTTAGCACTAGAGTTTGCCAGTATCCCAAGAATGCAGTGTGCGCTGGAGACCTCTTATGGCACAGAGTCCAGGTAAGTAATTGAATGCAGAGCAACATACCACTGTATCACCTTCACTTTGCCAAGTCGTCCCTGATAACAGAATACAAAAGCTCATCCATAACAACCCCATCCCGAACAACAGCCCTCCTCGCTCTCCCTTCAAACACAAACCCGCTCTTCTCCAAAACCTTCTGACTCCCCTTATTCGCCTCAAAAACACCCGCCCAAACCCTCTCAACCTTCCTCCTCCCATTCCCATCCTCTTCCTCCCCCCCATCCATCCCCTCAAAAACCCACCTCGCAAATGCAGGCACAACACACCCCATAACTCCCTTTCCCCAATCCCCCTCCCCAAGCCAATACCCGAGCTCATACCCCCTCGCATAAACATCCTTCCCAGGCACAAGTCCGATGCTACCCATGGGCCTACCAGTCTCTGGACATGCGATGACCCAGTTATACACCGGCGCGCCGCCGTCGCTGGAGTTCAACGCGATCCAGGACTCTGCGTCAGCGATGGTGTAGGGGCGGGGGAAGGAGTCGCGGAGGAAGCGCGATACGGAGGGTGAGTTTGCTGCGGTAGAGAGGGCGGCTGCGTCGGTTTTGTGGTAGGGTCTTATTGTTGCTTTTGGGAGGGTGAGGATTGCGGGTGGGAGATCTTGCGTGGCGGCCATTTTGCAGGTAGGCGTTGTCTCGAGACTCTTAGATTTGTGAGTCGGTGGTTGTTAACTGAATTGTGAGGTGTTTGCTGAACGTTGGATGAGAAGTTGAGGCGTTGTTGTGTGTTGTGAGAGTGTGACTAATAATACCCCAGAGTTGCGAAGTGCCATTTAGGGAATAGCCCGTGTTTTCGGACCTGGGTTATCCAATGACTCTTTACCGTCTCTGCAACGATAAGCTCTGCTGACGGCGACATGAGTTTCCGTGTCTGCCTAGCATTGGTCTTTATCTCCTTGAGTTCTTATCTTGCTAAAATTGTTAGGCCATTGACTCACAGAAACTCCGCAGAATTCCGTCAATGACATTGTTATGCTGGGATTAATTGTGACAGTGGGTCGGACAGAACAACAGACGGCGACGGTCGCCAAGGTCCGGTTTGAAGGCCACTCCCGGACCGTTGAAGAGCGGACCAATCCGCCTTGGCTTGCCGAGCCAAGATGCCGAATCCGGACCGGAGCAGAAGCGCGCAATGCTTGACGAAATTGCATGTGGGGGAAGTAATGTGCATGTCATAAATGTAATGCCTGAGTTCTGGGGACGCCTTTGAGAAATGGATGAATTGTGTCGGTCGATCTCAATTCCTATCCTGATTAAACCTGAGTCCTCGTACCCCAATGGATTTAGGTTCAACTGTGACCGCAACGCACAAACTCAACAAGGTTTAACGGAAACAATAAGCTTAAAATGCATCCTCAAATGGCACATGAAATGATGGGATATCCAGAGAAGCATCAAAAAATCCACCAAAAAGAACTTGCACACAATCGCTGCGAGGATTTGAGCCTCACGCGGGGGTCGAACCCGCAACCTTGAGATTAAGAGTCTCACGCTCTACCGATTGAGCTAGCAAGGCGGCTGGGGGCCGTATTTGATTGGTGAGAGTTCCTTGCCGTGTCTGCGTCTGAGTATCATTGCTGGCCGGCGAGTCGGGCAGTTTCCGGAGTCCTGTTCTCAGAGACCCGCTCCCTTGTCCACCCGGACGAGCCATCAATGGCTGTCATTCCCCGACCACTGGAACGATGGATGGCGATGCACTCCTGCAGGAGTCAGAAGGAAGAAATCACAAGCCGTTTTGAAAAAGTCTCTCATTAACGGGGGGGACAACTGGGGTATCTGCAACGCACCAATGACTCCAAACCAACCTTTCCAAACACGCTCTTCCCCCCCTCCAGAAATTCCACTAACAACAAAAAGACTCATAAAATCCAAGCAGACTCGGTATAATCCTTGGCCCCATTCTGCACCATGTTCTTAGTATACTTCATCCAGCACCAATTACTATCCTCCCCCTGCTCGCCCTCGTAGATATACACAACCCCCTTGCAGGGCCCCTTCCTCGACTGCTGCTGCAGGTTAAACGCCGCGCAGTACCGCACGCACTCTTCAAAGTTCTTGGCCGGCACCTGCGCGATGTCGTTGAAGAGGTAATCCGTCCCGCAGTCCTTGCTGAAGGTCAGGTTCGTCCCGGGCACCTCGTACGTTAACGCGGAGCTGGTGCCGGGACACTTGTTCAGTGCGATGGGCGTGTCCGTGGCGGCGGGTTTACTTAGGTCGAAGGCGACTGCTGAGGATGCCGAGGTTGGCGTGGCGGTTGAGGAAGAAGTGGATGGCGATTGGAGGCTGTGGAGTTGTGTAAGTATTCTTGTGAGGGAGAGAGGGCTTGTATGTTTGGGTGGTGTAAGGTGAGGAACTCACTTTGCGATTTCGCTGTTTTTGCTTGCCACCAAAGCACTCAATCCACCAGCCACGCCGACCAGGGCGCAGAACAACAAACTAGAGAGAACCAACAGCCAAAACGTTGCCTTGCGCAACCCGCATATTGTCCCGTCATCTTTGCTTCCATTTCCTTCCGCCGGGCGCTTTTCCGGCATCGGCGAGTGCTGGTTGTGAGCGTACGTCGTCTCGGTGTAATTCGTCTGAGGTGTGTGAGGTTGGTGCTGGTGCTGTTGCTGGCCATAGTACGGTTGCGTCTGTGCCGGCTCATACGTCTGCGGCGCCGTGCTGTAATTTGCCCCCGTGTTGACCTCCAATCCATCCGGGATGGCATCGGCCTCGGGGCCGGGCGTGCCGTCTGGGTGCTTGAGCATCTTTTCGGCTTCGGGTGATGGGGACTGACTGCTGTGCTTGCTGTGCCTGTTGGAGTAGAAGTGGTTGTGCGGATGTAGCGAAGCCATCGCGCGGAGGGGAAACCGAGACAAGCCACGCTTTGGGACGATGGAGTGAAGGAGGGGGGGAAAGGAGTTTTAAATGAGGCTGCCAAGTATTAGGTAGGGGTATATAATCTGACGGAACTTAAGAGATGCAAGACAAGATGAACGGCGAAGACTAGTCGAGGACTCTCGAGATACCTTTGTTGACAGGGAGGGACATGCAGGATTGTCTTGGGCCAGCGCGCGCGCATCAGGGGCGGGGTCGTCATCAGCACTTGTACTGGCCGGCTCGCTGATCCAAGACAATCCAGGACGCCATCCGTCCCACGGCCGTCACAGCGGTAGGGCTGGCGTGAGAATGGTACTGGCCGGCCGTTGCAATAAAGCTTGCTCCTGTAGCCTGAATCTAGACGTGGGTACTGGGCAGTCAAGGCAGAAGAGTCTCAAATAAGCATCGCCCCCCGACTTCAAGAGACTCAGCCCAGAGGCTGAGGGGAGGGTGGTGGCCGTCACGGTGGTATTCTCAGCTTTGCCCAATAAACAATTAGGCGCGGCGGCGATCAGCGCCAGATGCGTTCACAACTGGGATCTTTGGTGCGCGAAGGATTCGGCCCCCGACAACTCTGATGCATCGTTGGGTCATGGAACCCTCTTGCAAAGTACCTTTGTGCCAAGGCAGCGCGCCAGAATAGCGGCCGCTGTTCGGGCAGGCTCTCGGCCTCGCGGAAGTAAGCCCAAGAGATGAAGGCGCCCTCCGACAGCCACCCAATTTCCAAGCGGCCGCCGTAGGATTCGGAATCAAGACATCCCTGGTTTCCCCGGTCGTGCGATTGTCAGCCGTCGGGAGGGACTTGTCTTTTGTTTTTCTCGGGTTCTTGCTTGGACGTCGTCCCTTTTCGGCGCCAACGAGCGTATAACGCTAGGGCGAAGTGTCGACGCGCTTCGCTCCTGATAATCTTTCCGGGGTAATTATAGTCACGAGATTGTCCAGCACACTGACAAGACTTCATGCTGACAGCTTCGCGTACCAACAAGGTAAAGGGCTGGCAGGCAGAGTGCGTGCGGAGAGTCCGGTGTCACCGCCGAGCATTGGCCGGCCGGGCGGGTCTGGCCGGAGTCTTGGCTTTCCCAGTCGGCTGGGGATCAATGGCGACAGGACTGAGATGGCCTCGGATTCTGCTCGCCACACATAGCACACGTTGGTAGCAGCCAAAGAGCGTGCGAAAAGCATGGAATTAGTGACGCCGGCAGACCTGGGCAGAGACAAGCTTCGAGCCAAAATCTCATCAGAACGTGGCGCACCTAGCGGCTCCTCCCGTCAAACACGCCGCGCTGAACGTCTTTTGGCTAGAGAGTCCTTCAATATTGGGGGTTGAGACGGGCTGGCACTTAGGCGGTAATTATGGCAAGTGTTCGCGCTGTCACTCGCCCTTTTGCCTGCGTGTCAACATTTCTTCTTCCAAGCAGATTGTCGGAGTGAAGACTGAAGATATTATTTGTCGATGATTCCATCCATCTTGTCTCCACGCAATCGACGAGCATTTGGGGTGAACTGGTAGAAGCTGTCGTGGTCTCAACAAGCACTTCCCGACACGGCACGCCATATCCGTACAAGCGCCAATTTGAGGTCTGTTCAAGTGCGAAATAACTCTAATGACCGTGACGTCAGTTAGGCCTCTGGTCAATGTCGGGGCTTGTGCTTCAGATCAGACGTCCGCCATGACCGAGCGTGAGGAATGAGGGTAACCCTGTCGAGTTGCCAACTACCATCTTGCCATCTCAACCTCCATTGCTCTTCTCCACCAGAGAAGGAACTGTCGTGAAAGTCTGCTGGAATCGATTGACACGAATCAGAATACTCCCTCGATCATGTGTCGCTGGTTTGCTTACCTGGGTGATGAGGCTCAGCTTCTCGAAGATTTGGTCATTCGGCCGCGCCACGCCATTGTGAAGCAAGGTGAGTGATCTGCCATCACACCCAAGAGGGGCTATTGTATACTGAATGATGTCGGCAGTGGACGAACACTTTCTACCGGCTGGCCATTCAACGGTTGAACCGTTTCTTGGGGAGCTCCAGGTCGCTCCCTTGGCGGCCAATGACGCCGGCTCACCGAATCCATTGACCAACATGGACGGATTTGGCCTCGGCTGGTATACATCATCAGAGTGCGAGTTCAACCCGTACATTGATCCAAAGTGGCCCGAGTCCCTTCGACCAGTCGTGTACAAAAACACTCGACCTCCGCTCAACGATTTGGTCCTCAAGAGCATCGTTCGAGGCACCAGCAGCAATGCCGTCCTCGCCCACATCCGCGCAGCACCGGGCTTGACGCCAGTCGTAGAGACCAACTGCCATCCCTTCGCTTTTGGTCGCCACTTGTTTGCCCACAACGGCATTCTTGGGTCTTTTCCTCGCATCCGTACAGCGATTCTGCAGTATCTTCCCTTGAGATACCAGCAGGCCATTGTTGGGACAACAGACGCTGAGCACATTGCAGCCGTGTACTTTTTTATCTTATGTGGCAAGGATGGCGACTGGGAGTCTGTTTATGATGCTGGAGAGATGGCGACGGCGATGCGGGAGACAATCATCATCCTCGAGAAACTGCAGACCGAGTTTGGGCCGCCAAGCCGAGAGGCCAACACACTCAACCTCGTCGTCATGTCTGGCAGCTCGCTTGTCGCTGTGAGGTACGCCAGCCCAGAAGGACTGGAACCGCCAAGTTTGTACTACTCGACGACGGCTGGGGCAACGCTCAACCGCAAGTACAAGGGGTTTCCGAGCGACGTGAGTGACTCGGCCGACGGGGGTGATGGTGAAGCCGAGGACGACGGGCGGCTAGAGAAGAAGAAGCATGGCGAGCATGTTGTGGTAGCCAGTGAGCCCAGCACCTTCAACCAAGGCGAATGGGAGCTCATCAAGCCCTCGCAGATGGTTGTTTCCGAACTGGGGACCGGTGCCTATCTAGAGCACTTGTGAGTAGCTGCTCGTGGCGGTCGGTTATTCGACAATGAATTATTTGCAGTGTTAGGGTTCGCGGTCGGAGATTTGGTCGTTGGTACTGAAATTGAAACAGATTAAACATGTATGGCCTTCGGGTCTTCTGCATCTTGCTTGGAGTTGAGGTCGTACACGCACGGTGTCAGCATCTCTCAGCATTCGAATCCCAGAGGATATGCACAGCCTCTTCTTCAGATCGTCTTGTTTCTTTGCCGCTGTGTATAGTCATGTTTCTACCATCCTGGCTTCATCATGTGCGCACCCGCGTGGCGAATAGTGAGAGAAAGCAACTCGGCCTGGTATCAGTACCACCTCATGGCAGGTCTGTCAATTGTTATACTTGGCTCCCGCATAATGATTGGTAGAATTGACGTAGCATACCGGCAGGTAGCCTGCCGGCAGCAAACACTACCACCACCTCGCCGTCGCGCAACATCGCCGACTGTGAAGAACGTAAAAGTGAAATTATGGCGACAAAGCAGGAAGCTTGCATAAATCAAGCTTGAAATGAAGGGTGTGGCAAAAGGAGTGAGACTTTGGGCATGTTGTCGCGTTCCTAGAAGGTGACGGCTGGCGAAGGAGGTGAGGACGGAACAAAAAGTCCGAAGTTCCGTGGGTTCCATGTCGAATCGAAGTAGGCAGGAAGGAGGAGGGAAGCCGCGCCTGCCATGTCAGGAAGTCAAGTATCCAAGGCAGGAGCTTATTTTTTTTTTTTTTTTTTTTTGGATGCTTCACCCTCCTTTCCCATCTAACGTTGCCCATCAATCAATCGCCTTTGGTTCTCATTTTTCCTTCTTTCTTTTGTCGTCGTTTTTGTGCATTCTTTTCCCTGCCTCTACCACCATATCTCAACCAACGACTCGATTTTTCCTCCCGTTTGACCATAAGCATACCCGGAATCTCTTCGCCTCCTTTGTTCTCAACAGCGATCTTACACTGGGCCTCGTCACCGTCGAGCCGACCAGAATATTGAAATTGTGTCAAAATTTGCCCAAGATACATACGACTTGAGGCTGCCGGGAAACATGGCGTATCCAATGCTACTTGCCGCTCTTCTATTCTTGGTTCTTAGCCTCTCGGCCACGTCTACTGACAGCGAAAATGGCGACTACGACCAGTGCTACTTTAATGCCGGTTATGTCGGCCCAACGAGCCTTCTCCCTTGCTTACCGGCGAACGAGACAGATAATGGCTTCAGTTGGTGCTGCCTGGCAGGTGACTCTTGCGTCAATCAAGCCTGTTGGAATCGACCATCAGGCGTGACTTATCAGTATGGTTGTAACGACCCGACTTACAAAGACAAGAGCTGCCCCCTCAAGGGTGACCTCGACCCAGGTATACTCCTCCCTTACCTTGACCCGATCAATGACGTGGGACAACTGATAGCTAATCTATGTAACAGCCAAGTCTCCCTGGATAGGTCTTGTCCGATGCGATACTGAGAACGAGGGCCTCCTCAAATACTGGGCATGCAACCATCCAGACACCTGCGGCGAAAATTGCCCGACTGAACCCGACCGACCGCAAGTGACCCAGTCTGTCTGGCCGTGGATACCCAAGTCCTTGCCACCCAACACAGACTGCAAAGACCTAGGAAAGCGAGTTTTGGCAATGTATGCCCCCAATCCACTTGGCTCGACCGGTGGTGTACCGTCAGTGTACACGGCCGCAGCAGACAAACCGAGTCCATCCATGCCGCCAGTGCAAAGCAGTGACACGACATATTCGGCTTCCTCGTCAATGCCTATCTCTGTTTCCGATCCTACAAGTTCCGTCATCAGCGTCACATCTTCCACAACCGCCGCCGCTATATCTGTCGACTCTGAGACTAGCCGCTTAAACCTGGGCACCGGTGCTATCGCTGGCATTGCTGTCTCTTCCACTATTGCCCTCGGATCAGCCTTGTTGGTCGCCTTCATGCTACTCCGACGCCGTCGCTCCCGACAGGATCCAGTCTCTGATACACATGAGGACGAGAGCTATAACCACGATCAGCATGGTCCTGCAGAGTTGCCCGACGAGAAACACAACCTCATAAACCCCAACATCGTACCCATAATTTCGGAGCCAGGTCAACAGCGGCCAGTCTCAGATATGACTCTGAGCGTGGCTTCACCCAGTCCGCTCAGCACGCCGAGAACTCCAGGCTCTCCGTACTACTATCACGGCATCGGCCAACCTCTTTCTGAGTTAGCGGATCAGCCGAGGGCTATACACGAGATGCCGGCCATCAATGAGCGAGTTGAAATGGCTTGATTCATGAGAGTAGAGGCTGAGTTATCTAGGTCATAGGTGGGAAAAGGCTTCAGTGTCTTTCTGGGGACTCAAACACACGCACATATTTGCAGAAGGCTTCATAACGACCCACTCTTGTGGCATGCCCCTACCTATTCCCTTTCGCTCAGTCAACGTCGGCCTGTTGACTCATGATACGACATAAATGCCACGTCTCACCATTTGCCGACATATGCTCGACCAAATCGCCTCTCGAGAAGGGTACGTTATGCGTTACTACGAACAAAGCTCATGGTAAGGCGATGGCAGTATACTACGGAATGTACCTTCCTCCGTACTTAAGAGGAATGGGCTTAGTGACAGTATTGAAGACTCGGCTGATTTACTGCCGGATTCGACTGAAAGATATACTAAGATACAAGATACGCACTACGTCAAATGACAGTTTGAATAGATGGCTGTTGATCGTAGGCTGTTATACAGTCTTCGGGGTCCTTCCCATCGTACTTGCACTCGGGCTTACAGACATCGTACCGAAAGAAGCGGCTATACTGTGCGCCGCAAACGGTTGGACCCCAGAACTTGGCGGGATCTAGCATACGACACTGCGGAAACATAACATCAGCAGATATTTCGGCTTACCACGAGGGAGTTTGGAGGGAAGGGCAAAAAAGACTCGTACCGTAAGGTTACCCGCCCACGGACTGCCGTCGGCCGCCAGACTTATGCTGACTTTGTCTCTGGGGAGGGATCTGTTCTTGACAAAGACGCAGGCTTCTTTGGATCGGAAAACAGTGTGGTATGGCCTTGTTTCGCAGACGCAGTGGAAAAAGTCTGCGTTGACGGAGGCGATCCAGATACTGGTAGGCTGGTGAGCATGTTTGAAGCTTTCATACCGATGCACTGGGCTGGTTTAAGACTTACTAGAGGATACTAAGGGAGAGGATCGGAAACTTCATTGTGTTTGATGGTGGCCGTGTTGCTGGATGGATTTGGGGAGCTTGACGTGTGCTGGTTCCTGTCTGCATGGTTTGGGGAAAGAGTCTGTAGTGAAGTGGTATTTATGCATCTTCTGTAGTCAGAGTTGGACGTTTGACTTTTGTAAATGGACTACCATTAGGACTATAATATGGGTACTCAGTCTAGCCCATCCGCAGAGGTTCCGTTTACGGCTTTTTGAGGATTACCTCCGATACCAAGTTTGTTAGTAGCGTTGAACCTAGGCTTGTATCATGGACTTCCATTTCATTCCACATTGACGACCTCTACTCGTCTACCGATACCCTCTCAAATAACTGCTAAAGTATGCTTTACATGAAGACGCGGTTGTGACAGAAGAATTTGTGAGCGGCGTATGTGACAAAGTCGAAGAAGATCGAAGATATATACAAAAAGAACAACAAAAAAAAACCGTTAGTTACTGGAAGTTTGGAACAGTTGAGAAACTACGCTAATACTATGCCGTCACACTGTGGCCAGTTTTCTCTACAATTGCTTCGTTTCTAAGATTGGGCAATATTACTCTGTTGGTTTAAGAGTATTCTGTCCACATTACCGCTGATGCGTGATTTTATACGAGTTTGTCGAGTTTTCTAGGCCCTTTGAATAGATGAAATGGTTGTATCTACCTTTTCTTGCCGCACCATCCGCAACTTTACGTTCAGCCACCCCTGCTGTTCCACCTCATCGGTCTGTGATCCCCTTGGCTGGCGCTGGTTAATTCAGTTCAGCTACATCACGTATCGGAGAAAGCTGCAGACGCGGACACCTTGATCAACCTCGATCAACCTGCCCACTCAGCCATATATCCTGCCGGCCTGCGCATCAAAGACTTCCATCAAGACCCAATTGACCTCAACTTCTTCTCTTCTACATACCCTGTTATTTTCACACCATGTCTGGATTCGCCAAACTAGGCGTCTGCGACACGCAGGGCGGCTTGACTTTCTTCAAATTTCCGAATGAGCTGCGCAAATTGATGTACAAACACTATCTTTAGCTCGACGAAGGCTACAAGTTGAATCCGCACACCAACAGGCTGCGAAATGGCAACGACGAACCTTTTTCTCTCGACTTGACTGGATGTACACTTACAAGCGCGCTGCCATGGAGATTCGAGGGTTGCCCTGTCAGGATAACATCATCACCTTCTCAGCGTTCTGCCCTTAGTCGCAATAAGATCGCTTCAATGCTGGTCACTTCAGCAACATGACGCACACGATGGAATGTGATCTGCGACAGGTCTTCCAACATGATCTTGACCGCAGCTTTTTCCCAAGCCAAGTGCTTAAAGAAATTTCAGACAGCCCTTTGCCCCCATTTCAGATGTGACGAAGGGAGGGCAGCTGCGACATCTCAACTTTAATCCTCCTTTCGGCAAGACTCCGTCGACTTTGCGCGACTTCGTCCGCTTCACTCTCAATACGATCAAATCCTACCGATGTATATTTGATGACCGCAAATACGAGTAGTCGGTCTACCAGCCTCGGTCTTGTTTTGAAGGCGGACGTCTGCTTCACCGGGGAAACATCCCCATGAGCCAACTTCTTGGGCTCAGACCCCAGAATTTACGATTCCTACCCACAAGGATGTCGATGGGATTACCATTCCCTCTGACGGGCTAGAGCATTGTAGCATATATTGCGATGACCTGTACGACAAGCGCGAAACACCCGTGGATTTGACCAGGTTCTGTTACTCGACAGTTGTCGCCGCTATTCACTTTCTGTATCCAATGGCCCCGTCATCTCATGCCGACATTCGCGGCATCAAGCTTTTGCAAGATCGGCCGTCGCTTTCTTACCCGGAATGCCACGATTTAAGGTTGACACGGTTCTGCCAAGAGAACCCGCTGTTACGCATCAAGCGTTACGTTAGTTTATGGGATACTATCTTCCAGGGCGATCCCATATTGGATATGGATCCTGAAGGGGAAATGCCTCGGAGGGGTAAGGAGACAGACAAGATATCTTACTCCATAGCCACTTGGATGGTAGAGGCCTTGGCATTACCTACAGCTGGTATGCCTCATGATGCGTTCAAGTTGATATTTGTTGGAGACTCAGAGGAGACTGGGAGTGTGAGAAAATCTTCCGGGAGGGCGTCCTACGAGACGCTGCCTGGCAGGAGGCAAGGGATGAATGTTTAAAACGAGGCATTCTACCACCGCTATCTTGGGCGGAAAGGAGGCTTGGCGCGTGGGGAGAATCTTACGGCGATGATGTAGTCACGGGTTCGAATCCCCTCAGTCGCTGCTTTCTATCCGAAGACGTTCCGCGGGCGGTGCAGGAGCCTCCCAATGGAAGCTCGCTCATCTCCTGCAACTTCCATCCAGGCGAAACTTAGGACCTCGAGAAGATCATTGAAAAACGGCGAGCGTGGTCTCTACGCAAGTGGAACCGCAAATGGCCGCTGGGGAAACAGTCTTACAGAAGAGGCCACGGCACTCACCACCCTTCAGATTGAGCGCTGTCCCCGGTCATGATGCGCGTGGTCAGGCCAACGGCTTAGGCGTGACTCGAAGAGAGAGCCGCGATGCTTTACGTGAAGACAACCGACAGGGGGGGAGGCGCCTTGTCAAGATGTGATGGAAAGCGTTGACGATTCTCATCAAACGAGAGATAGGAATTGAGAAGTGAATACGGAGGGTGAACGGGACTTGTTGCAGGAACCGTATCCGTCGCGAGATGCGCGATGTTTCATTGTATTGTTTAGTGCTGGTCAGAGATTATGCCTCGCTCTATCCAAAACGCATAGACTTGTGGTTGCTCCCCTGGAAAATCTCCAAGAAGATCCTCATCGCTCTTGTCAGATTTGGCGCTGTGGTATATGAGCAGTTGCACTTTACCAACGCTCCCGTGTACTAAAGCGATCGCCAACGCTTAGTAGCCACCGAGTCCACGACAGACACGTCACTGCCGTGCTGCGAAAGGGTCCAGTAAGTTACTTCGTCACATTCTACGTAGGCAGCAAGATGCAAGGTGGTTTGCATCATGCTGTCCGATCCCTTTCACATCCTCACTGAGCCGGACTAACTCATCCACGATACATTTCCCTGCCTATACGTGGGCGACGAGGTGCAGCCCTGAGTATCCCTCCGAGAGACTGTACGTTCCAGCGCTCTTCAACAGTCACAAACTCGTCATGTTCCGATTCCTCATTGAATTTCCAAGCGTCCAGTCGGCTGCTTGTAGATAGTAATCGATCAAGGCTCCCTTGGAAGAGAGGTGCAAGAATGCTGCTAAGATGTTTTTTGATGTCTACATCGGGCGTTCAAGCTGCGAGACCTGAGACTTTGCTCAGTACTGCGCTCGGGGGTCCTGTAAAACTCATTTTTCAGTGGACCCCACATGTCGACCAGCAATTTCCTGCAACTTCGACGAGCAGTCCCCTGGGCTGAGTTGAGCCAGGAAGAAATGTCGTTGGCTTGAGATATTCATTTTGGGTGGTTCCAGGAGATGGTTCCCATATCAATGTGGTAAGAATGTAACACAAGGGCACCAGTGCATGCTTTTGTAATGATCCTACTTGAAATATGAAAGGCATCAGGCTACGATGAGGAAGTATCACATCGTGGACTATCCATCCGCGCAATATGTGAACGTATATGTGGAGAAGGGTTTGATATGCACTACGATGCTGCTGCTATGTACCCTGGGCAAACTTTGGCGCAGAAAGGCCTGGACGCCAGCCTATTTACACGCGCTAGGTCCCTGTCTGGGTTTCCCCGTTTTCGGCATCATATCGACCTCTATCTGACAGTAAACTTCAGAAGGAGGCTTCTTGTAGTGCAAGCATCTTGGCTATTTGTTGTATGACTGACAGATACTGCACCGACTTTTCACTTTGTTACCGGATACGAATACCCATCACAAGAGAAAGCGGTCAAAGTCGAAAGCAGACTCCGCCTGGCCGGCAGCGAGACCAGCCGCCTTGAGCGCACCCCAGTTCACATCATCGATTCCCACCTCGTAGTCCCAGCCGTGATGAGGGTCAGGGTTAGGCAGTATCTGCCAGTAGAACCACGGAATTCCGGCAGCATCAATACTAGCAGCCCACGTACGGATGTTGGAGTCTCTGGTTCCTGTACCAATGGGGCTACCGCCGTTGCAGTTATGGTTCGGGGCATCTGTGTAACACGCACCCCATTCCTGCATAATGAGTTTCTTCCCAGAGTTCTTGGCCTTGGTGACGTAAGGCTGAAGCTTTGAAGTGGCGAAATCATCGACTCCGTAGGCGTGGATGGCAAGGACGTCTAGGGCACTGCAGCTGAAGTAGGGGTCGAGCAGAGAATTGTCGACGTAGGCACCGCCTCCGGTAGTGACCAGGATATCGGTACTTCCGTTAAGGTTCTGCTTGATTGCCTCTGCCATCGTGCATTGCCATGACGCTAGATCGGATGTGTTCCCCTGGAGGCGTTGTCAGTCTAGCCTTGTCACCCAAGTTTGCGGAATTCTGACTAACTTGTGGATGCATGGCTTCTTTTTGAGCCTCAAAGGCAAAGATGTACTCGGGGCTTTGGGCCCAGGTCTTGCCATTGTTGGTATTGACATGTCCAAGAACGTGAGCGATGCGCGTCTTGAAATGCCCGATCGCTTCGTTATTAGTATAAAAGTCCCCTGTTCCATACCACTTTCCATAAAAGTCAGAGTTTCCTTCGAGAGCGTTGTAACTGTGAATAGAGACGAGTAGCTTGATGCCGTACTCATGGGCGTGGACCATAAAGTTGTCGAGGCGGCTGAGCACAGTGTCATCCCACGCATCAGGACCATCGCCCTGGAGGCTGTTGAAGTCCTCCAAGGTTGTGCCTTTCTCGCTTCCCGATTGACCTAGGATCGAAATGAATGAGCATTCTTATCTTTGTTGTCAGGCCTGAGACTATTTACCGTCAAGCCATACTCGTAGGACTTTGATACCAGCGCTCTGGAGGCCTTGAAACAACGTGGTCTGTTGCTGGGTATTCAGGCCAGCAGCATAGTAAAGATTCGAAGCGGAGAATGATTTTGCTGCATAGCAGGTGGCGGAAAGAGACAAGTGGAAGAGAGCCGGAATGACTTTGGAAAGCTTCATTTTGAGTTCGGGTCCCAGTTGGTAATGATGATTGGCTTGTGACTTTGGGTTAGTTGATCGTGGAGGAAAACAGTTCGAGAATCGAACCTTCTTTTAAAGTTCCAATGGTTTGAACATAAGTTTGCCAAGGTAGAGAGGGTGGATGCCGCGGGGGGGGGATCTTGCGCCTAGTTCACCACCTATTCGAGCTACTGCCTCGGCTTGATTGTTTACAAAATATGGTGCCAAGTCAACTAGCGAGACACGGGCGTATATCGGAGGTATCAAGACCCGCCTGTCTTTCATTTCTGGCTATACCATGTCTCATTTAGTTAGGGTACACATATCTGCCGAGGGGCTAAGACCTGCGTAGTGCCGTCCGGGGAGGCAAGCATCTAAACACCTTCCCAACACTCCCTGCGGTATTGTATAGTTCCGACCAAGGCGCAATAGCCACAACATAAAAATATTTTCTGGAGCTTGTCGGAAATTACAGAGAGTTACATGTCGGGAAGGATCATCTGCTGAATAGAGTGCTACGCTTGTATAACTGGTACGTTGAGTCTCTCGGCGAGTGTTTGCAACTTAGTTAGGGGCGTCTCTTTGATGCACCATTCTGTTCTCAGTCTGTCTTTCTTCGCATAGCTGTGTTCTCTCCGTACGCCTTTTTCGACAATCTTGATCTGGAAGCTGGCATTGAAGACTGGAGTGGACTTACATATCTCGTTGGTGGACTGGGGTTCTCAGCGTCCGAAGATGTAAAACTCAGTGGTTCGGGATAATGCTCAATAAACTATAAGTTTCTGTCTTCAAGTTAAACCTCGGTACGATAAGGTACAAGTAGATTCAACTGTGAGATAAGCCTAACTCTATGTCGCCACTTATTTCAACTATGGGCTCTAGCGTAGGTTATCTCTTGGGGTTTGAACGGGCATACATACCGAAGTAGTTGGGTATTGCTGGGGAGGCCTGGTGGCTTATGGCCACTATGAGTGCCTAGCCACAGACCCAGTCACATCTCGATTGTGTAACGACAGATCAAGAAAGCAATGACCTAACGTAAGTTCCGTCAGATCTGATTATGAATGTCAACGCTAAATACAGCGTAAAGATGTAGATGAGTTGTCATGGAAGCAGATTTTGGAACGGTTAACGTAGAGAAATCCATTCATCCTGCCTGGTACTCATCTCGAGCACTTACATCACATGCGTCGAGCATTCCCTCTTAAAGTGCAGATCATTCGGCCTTAGATGCCGTCTATAAAATGAGACACTTACTGATCTGAAGCCTCCAGTACCTTCTAGGTTAGGACCTTTGTTCTCAATGGTGTAGGTAACATAGTTGAGTCTCTGGTGAAGGGCTTTATGCTTGGAAAATCTCGTCCCGACTAATTGTCCCCTAACTTTGACTGAGTAACCTTTTCTATGATGGCTCACATCCTCACCATGTTGGACGGACCTCGTCCCGAAATGATGTGAGCGAATCACATCTACATTTTAATGCTCTACTTATGCACGACCCCCTTATGAGGTATGGACGTAATGACTTCGGTACATTGCGGCATCCTTGACCGCTACGTGTGTATCCTTCCCGTACCTAACTGGAATTGAATCGATAGTGATTCGGCTGCGTACATGCCCTCACCGCCGGGAGAATTCGAGGCGCACAAGCTACCCATCAGAACAAACACCGGGCCCCGCCGTTTCCTGGTGTATCGGTTGTGCATGTGTGACCAAAAGTGAAATCGAGGCTATATTGAGATCGGCGCCATTTTCTTCCAAAATAATTCGAGCTTCGAACACTCTCCTCTATAGCATTTCGACCTGTCTATGTTACTACACAGATTTCACACATTTATTCGTGTTTATCATTTGAAATGTTTCGCTCGTGGCCTCATCAGGCCCAACCAGACTTCAACTGGTTTCCATTCAATAGCGCAACTGGCAACAGACCTAGCATCAACCTGAACAACTTCGGGCCCTACCCTCGCGGTCCTGCCACTCCAGTCTTTGCAAATCCAGGACCCCGTATCTTCGACTTCTCGCAGCTGTTCAACATCACCAACAACAACTTCGGTCCCGCGCCCCTACGCCCTAAGCAGTCAGGCCGGATCCGCAACCGAGTCACCGTCCTCCTCCCCGACGGCTCGCGGGCTCTACTCGAGCGCGACCTGCTCCACGAACACCTCCCTCGGACCCGGGACTTCATGCAGCAGGGACTCTTTCCCGTCCCCGAGTTCCTCCGAGGCTACGATGATGGCTTTATGGGAACCCTGATGGAACCCCATTATTTTGACCAAGCCTTCGCCCGTGGCGCCACCTTCATCTTTCGACATCTCGAAGGCCTAAGCCACGCATACGCGCCGCCTTACGGTGCCACAGCCGCGAGCGCAGGCGTAGGCGGTGGTACTCGAGGCGGCGCGCCTTTTGACCTGTTTGCCCGGCCGCGCTACCTCCTCGCAAACGCCCGCGATCGACTCGTGACGGTCCAGGAGATATTCTGGCACGTCTTTATACTCTGCTGCGTGCTGGATCAGGACCGGGCCTTTGGCTGTTCAGATTCGCTGGCGAGACCGATCGCGGAATTCCTCGTCGACTTCTTGCCGAGCGTGGAGGCGTTTCTGCCCCCATCGGCGATGCAGATCCTGTTTGTGGGATACGCTCGCGTCTTTCGTGAGTCCTTGTTCGAGATGGACCTGTTGAGGCAGATGTGGGAGTCGATGGATTTTATGGGCCAAACACACATTAGGGGGTTGATGGGGCCGCAGTTGGCGAGGAATGGGATGGGAAATAATGTGCAGAGAGTGTGGACTGCTCTTAGGCACCTTGGTCTTGTCTGACTTTCTCTCCTTGCTAAATCATTTGTTTCTTGCCCTCTTTGGACGATCCTTTAACACTCTTTGGTGTTTAACCAACCTATCTGGGTCCATTTGCTGTCTGTCCTCGACCAAGCCGAAGAAACTACTCGTCCTCCTGCTTTTAATAGCGACCCCATAAAATAAGCCTCTAAGTGGTCTTCGTATTCATTCCCAAACTTCCATCTATGTAGCTGTCCAAGAAAGTGAAGTCCAAGTTATCCAGTGCCCAACTTTCCTCATATGGACATTGCACGGGATCCTGCTGTTCCTTTTCTCCAAGAAGCGGAACGACAGTGTCTTGTCTTTCTGTCGAGCATGGAACCTCATCCTGAAAACAACGATCCTCAGGAGGTTGCATAGTCGACCCGATTTGTCTCGGCAACCCATCAGATCGTTGCCTCTCAATCCTGATGACCCAGAAATGTGGAAGATAAATGTTCAGGACAGTATCTTGATTCGTGAGCTTCACCCGGTACCCAAGATCGTCATCTGCTAAGGACGTCTCTGGCGAAAATTTGACCGTGTACCTCTCTCCCAAAGTCATGTCATCCTGGATGCGCAACAGATGTTTGAGAAGGGTGGCCACTCTTGTAGCAATCTCATCATTATGCTGGCCCACGAGCACCTGCATGACGACCAGAGCCTGTTCCAACATGCCCCGATCGCTCAGCCGTTGATGTGCAGAAAGGTGGAAGCCCGTTCCATGAGTTGCTTGGTGATGGAAGTCGCAAACGTGTGCTAGACACAGTGCGGTGCATGATAGAAATGCTATCAGGTCGACCCCTCGGCAATAAAACCGCGCGGGTCGAGTTGCGCGAAAGGACAAGAATCTAGAAAGAATCTCCCGACTTGCTGTCACCGCTGTTGCTTTATCGTGCTCTGACATTGGGCGCAGGATGTTGGGAAAATGCAGCTGAAGGAGGAGGTGATAGTACATAAAGTGATCATTGAACCGCAACGTCTCCCGAATCTTCTCTAGATGCCCCGTTTCCGAGGCAAGGGTCGGAGCAACCCACCACTGCGCTGGCATCACGGTCGAGGCTTCTTGTAGTAATTTGTCAATGTCTTTGGCCGTCTCGTGATTATATACTTCTGAAGGCTGTCGTTGTAACAAGCGGCCGCAAGCGACGGTGCAGAGACGGAGAAAACGATCCAATGGAGGACAACCCTCAAGGGCACCAGGGTCAGCGTAGACGTCTTCGAATGCGCTCTGAGGTAATCCCAGCATGAGGGAGAGATAGCGGTCGAATTGCACGAGTCGGAACCAGAGATCATTCGGTTCGATGACTGAGCCGACGAGGGAGCGTGGCTTGATGCCCCGGCTGAGACCGAGCATCTGCGCAATTGCGACTCCGCGGCGTCCGGCGAGCCACGAAGTACGCAGGTTTCCAGCGTAGTTCTCGTAAAGACCCTCTAGCATGATGCATTCGAGACCTTCTAAAGAATCTACCAGCTCGTCCTTGCATGTGACCAAGTCGTGGGCCGTCTTCACCGCCCGGGACATGATGTTCTGCCAGCTGGTGCTGAGTTTCCCCAGGTGGTGGGCGGAAGAAAACGGCATACCTTGGAGGAACGAAGCCAAGATCAGAAGGCTCCTCGCAATCAGCACTGGATGTGACCCAGAGGGTGGCAATTGAAGTAAAGCCGTGGATGACGGAAGTGAAGATGGATTCGGACTCGTCCTAGTGCATATGACAGCCCGAATGATTTGCGAAGTCTCCACGGGGATTGCCAAGATAATGGCCATGTCCTCTGGGCTGGGCCATGCAGTGAACAGCTTCCTGCAGATGGCCTCGTGGGCTTTTGTGGACAATGCAGCGGAAGTTAGAGGCGGGACTCCCGGACGCACAGGTGAGGTGCTCCTCTGAGAATGTGTGTCCTAGGCCGTCAGCATTGATGCCGTGTAGTTTGCAGCTTTAAATACATACTCCTACTGCTGCACCACTTCCTGCTTGAGGGTCGCAAGGCGGAGATTCCGAGCGATGGCTTTGAGGGGTTGCGGTTGAGACAACGACGGGGGAAGCCGACCGCCGAGGCCCGGCTCTCTCACCCCAGGCCCGGTCCCGAGATTCAGCTTGAGAGACGAGACGGTCGTCAATGTAGCGGTGCTCGCTGTGGGTTCCTGACTTTATCAGCTGTCTAACTAGTGCCTCAACTTGGCCAAGTCTATCCACGATGTGTTTGTTACTACCAGGCGGTGGCGGCAGATCAGTGACCTCTTGACTGACACAGTCACTCCCACGGCGCTTGCAGCCATCGCAGACATCTTGTGTTGAAGGTGAAAAGGTACAGCGCGCTTTACGGCGTTTGCATTCCCAGCAGCTCTGCGTGCCCTTGCGCAGCTTCCGCCGCTTCGGCGCCGGAGCGGAGTCGGCGAGTGGGGGCTCCTCGTCTGGAGTTCTTTCGGTTACCGTCATCATGGTATCTGGTTCGATGCACTCGACGTATATCTTGGGATCATTGTTTGTTAGATGTGACTCGTAAAGAATTCCTGTAGCCGTCTCTTTGTTCGACCGCCGGTTTAGCGGAGGAGTGTAGCGGCGATCAGCTGACAAGGAGGGAATGCTGTCCATTAGTAATCCCCCGCCATTCTCCGCCGCCGCACCGGTGAATCGGATTGAGGGTGGGGACTGTAGTCTATCGGGGCTACGATCTGATATCTAGCACTCTCACAGGACCTAGTCGTCATAGTTGTTGAGTCCGGAGTGGAGAGCCGCACGAACGGCGGAGCCCAGGAAGACGTCAAGAGGCATCCAATCGTCCGCAAGGACATACTGTAAGACATATATTTACTCCATGGCTCTCGCCCCGTGTTTCTACCTACATACGATCTCCAGGCCCCCGAAGATCCAACAGGTGCAACATCAACTTTCCAACAGAGAACGACAATCCAGAGTGTTTGGTTGGAAATCTTCAACCCACTACAGTAAACCAACGCTCGGAAATGGTTCGAATCGCAATTGCTGGCGGCTCTGGTAGTAAGTCTTGGCAAATCTTTAGTTCATCTCTTGGTAGCCTACGGCTAATCAAGGATCATTCTAGACGTCGGACGAGAGATCCTTGATGCCTTGGTAGCTAGAGGCAAACATGAAATCTTAATTCTCTCCAGAAAGGTGACTTCAATCTTGCTCTGCACGGCATGTCTTTCTAGCTAATCGCCAGCTAACTTTTGCAGGATGACCCCGCCACTAATTTTGGCCCGAGAGTCAAATGGGTCCAGACGAACTACGATGACGTTGCCCACTTGGCTCAAGTGCTCGAGGGGGTTCATACTGTTCTGTCTTTTGTTGCCGGGCCTGCCGATCCGACGAATGCCGCACAGAGGGCTACCCAGAAGAATTTGATCGATGCTTCTATCAAAGCTGGCGTTAGACGATTTGCTCCTAGCGAGTGGGGTTCGTGAGTCTCTTCTGTAACGTTTTATGCATCTACTCTGTCTTTAACTCGTTTAGTTCCAAATTCGAGCACATGTTCTGGTATGGCTTCAAGGAAGAGACTCGAAAGTACCTTGCTACCATCAACAAAGATAAGAAGGTATTCAAGTTGACTGTCCCAACCCTTGCATGGTTCACGTGGTTTACCAAATATCTCAGGTTCTTGAATACTGTCTGTTTCAACCTGGACTGTTCACCAACTACATGACGTACCCGTTCAACTCCTCTGAGCATGTTCAGCTTTTCGAGACACCGTTCAACTTCTATCAACGTCGCGCCCTGGTTGTCGATGGATGTGAAGACGCTATCATAACCTTCACTACTGCGCAAGATTTGGCCAAAGTAGTTGCCTTAGCCGTGGAGTACGAAGGCGAGTGGCCTATTATAGGCGGGGTCCAAGGCGCCCAGGTGTCAATCGCCCAACTCATTGCGCTTGGGGAGAAGATCCAAGGTAAGTGGAACTAAGTTTCCTCTGAGAACTTTTTTGCTTTCCGGGCGAGTCACTAATATGTCAACAAGGCGGGCCGTTCGACGTGACCAAGCTCAAGGCCGATGACCTCAAGGCTGGAGTCGTCAAGGCCCCCTGGCTTCCCAAAGTTGAGCACCCATCGATCCCCCCCGAGACCTTGGATGCTGTCGCTCCTAGCCTGCTCTCGGGCATGTTGCGGGGTATTGTGGCTGGCAACTTGGAGTGCTCTGACGAATGGAACCGTCTCTTGCCCGGGTATGAGTTCACTCAGCCTGAAGACTTTCTGGCCACCGCGTGGTCGGAGATTGATGCGGGAGCCAAGACCACCATCACGTCCTAATAGTGACTTTGAAGTATCCGAAGAGCATTTCGTCTTGAGCCAGGAGTTCTCTCGGTCTTCTGCGCACATGACCAATCTTGTAGATGCCGATGCTGCTTCGAGGCTTGTACACCATTATCATGAATGGTAGGGTTGATCGAAGAATGCGGTCTCACCACTAGTTCTGTCCAACAAACATGGTGCAAGGACCTCACCTCACGTATTCTTATGTACTTTAGAGAATCTGAAAGACAATATTGAGATCAGGATTAGGAGACAGAGAGCTCACAGCACGAAAGCTTCTAGAGAAAGAGACAGCTTAGAAAGTATCAAGTTCTTTGAATTGTTACTAAAGTATCGAACGGACTCTCCAAAGCGGTTCGCTAAGTTTTATTGGACTACTTGAAATGTGATTATCCACACAGCCTCTTTAAAGGAGACCTTGTCGTGATGTCAGTCTGTCGGTTTCAGCCTTTGGCCTCCAACTCGTGCTCCGATGCATTCCATCTTCAAAGCCTCAAGGCCGGAGCGCAGTCGGAGCAGCTATTCCTGGAAATCCCGTGACGACAGGTCCTTGGCTTCATTGGGATGCACATATTGAATGATGTTGAGGTCTGAATAGAAAGTGGCTGATAGTTGGCGGTTGGTTGTGTTGTTTGAGAAGCTTGTTGAGGTTGCTCAGGGAGGTTACAGAGGAGAAGTTCTCTAAAGATGAATGTGCGAGTGTGATGATGGAAAGAACAAGTCCTTTCTTACCTCCAGTATACAGGCGAGGTTTATGTATACGTTTCTCAAGGTCAGCGTGTTGTATTAGTGAATGTGACAGATGTAAAAACGCCTCCGGTCCACCGATCCACTGCAAGTTATACGCCAACTACCTTATGCTGTGCAGGACAATCAGGTAAGGCTGTGATTCGCACTCACGAGTCGTGCTATCTGCAATTATGACGCAGGAGTCTGGTTACTGCTTGCATTTCCATGACTAGGTGAGTCGGAAATAGAAGAGAGAATCATTGCCCTCGGGTAGCTAAGACAGACCAATTATATGGTCACGCGGGTCTTGAGGAAACCACCGAAGCTGTCAAACAGTGCCTGATCATGCCCCTCCCTCCACCGGCACCTCAAGGCGATCCTCTCTCGCCCAACATCTAGTACAACCTCAAACCCAAACTTGCATACCTCAGAGTCTGATGATCCCTCGGCTTCGGTCTTGCCCTCGCGTTCCTGCCGTGTTTTCTTCCGCCTCCAAGCGCGACTCCATACGTTTTCCCGCGCTCTGCCAACACCCGCAAGCTTCTCACGGTCCCATTCCCAGAAAATTAGTTCCAATGAAGACATGAGCCCTTGAACATAGTCTTGCAGCCTCCCTATCTCTGTACCAAGGGGAAATGTAGTCAGCTCGGATTCTACACTCGGAGGCAGAAGCTTCCTCCAAGCGGCAGCCTTCATTCCCTTGGCTGCCTCTTCTGACGGTCTCATCGCGCCAAAACTCCACGCGACGGCCCACCGCCTCGTTTTGTTGCCCTGCACAAATTCCGTCACGGCGTAGTTGTCGATGCTCTTCTCTTTCAGAATCGCGATAAACTCCTCAAGACTCGATTGTTTCCCAAACATGGATGTGTACCACTGCACTTTGTCGCGCAGGACGAGGGATTCCTCGAGAATCCTGGACACGAACTTGACTTCGCCGCCGTCCGTCACCATCTCTACTGGTGCACCGGTGCATGCCGTTAGGGGAGGACGCGACTTTTGTTTCGCTGAGTTTAAGAGGTCGTCTTCGGAGGTGTAAAATGGGGGATTTGCCATGACGAAGGTGAGTGACTCGATACCCAAATCTTTCAAGGGGACCACAGAATCTTGGGGCGTACGGGCAACGACAGAGATTCGACTTTGTAGATTGTTCAACTCTACGTTCTTCTTGGCGAATTCCAGACTCCTTGAGTCAATGTCTGATGATAATTAACATCTGACATTAACATTCGAGAGATGATAGCATACCTGTCGCGTAGAAGGACCATTTCCGCTGGGTACATCCTAGAAGCGGGTAGATACAGCTTGCTCCGGTGCCGATGTCGAGCCCGAGGACATTTTGATCTGGATCACCATAGGTGGTGCTATCTAAGAGGCTCTTCAACCAGAGGAGGTAATTGTGGCGATTTGGTACCTTTTCCTGTCAGCAGTGTAATTGTGAGAATTTCAAGATTATGGAAAATTTGTACTCACGGGTGGGCACAGACGATCGTCAGGTAGATCAATGCTCAGTCCAAAGTCAGCTTTCAGCAGCGTCTTGGTGAGCTGCATCACGGCAGATGGATTATTAAAATCAAGATTTCCACGTTTGAGCCTGGGAATAAGTCGGTCAGCCATTTGAAACTAAGATCTATTGCTATCATCACACACATAGCTCCAAATTCTTGGTCTTGGCGGCCCAGCTTCCCAAAGTCTGGTTCCATCGAGTAAAGATTGCGGAAGTAGGCGTCAGCGTGAGTACCAGGCTCTGGTGGTCGACCCACGAGACCGCGATCAGCCCGGCGGATTGTGCCTTGCAAGCTGACATCATTGGCTGCCGAAGGAGTGCTCACCGAGCTCCTTCGTCTTTTGCCTGTCATGGCTATTCGGGGTTCTTGGTGTTTTTACTCGATTGTTGAGCAAGACATTCCTGATGCTTAGGAATTTGCCCTGGCGTCACCGGTCGACGATTGAATGCCGGTGTCCAAGGACAAAATGCAAGGCGTTTGAGAGCGTATACAAGAACTTCCTCCAAAAAGACACTTGAGATGGGGATTCAAGGACCCGTGTCAGATGATTGTGTCAATTTGCAATGGCTTCGCGATGTGTTAGTGAAGAGAAATTGCTACTGGTGGTTGGCGAGAAGTGGGACGGCGATTGAAGACACCGGATAAATACATATGTGCTGGCGATTGCTGAGTCATCGCTATAAGCAGCATCAGCGTCCATCGTCAGCATAAACGACACATCGTTTGAAATTTGCCGTTTACCTGGCATGACTAGGTCATGAGCAGGTTTCTCATATTCCGTTGGATTGAATACTTTTCAAGTGAGATCTTGTTCACGGTCTTCGTCAAGGTTGGTCTACCTCGAGTGGCATGGGAACCTTTTCGGCCGATCAAAGGCAGAGGAATTAGGCTCAACTTATCAAAATACCGAGGCACCAAAGATAATAGTCTTACTCTGCAAGCTAGGAATGAATTGAAAGTGTTGTCTCCAAGTGCAGAGTGTTCACGAGGACAAACATGTCTATGGTTGGTTCTCCAGATGTATAAGAGCTCAAAAAACAAGCCGAAACCTGCACGCTCCAATATGCAACGCTTTCATCTTCTCATGTCTGTCATACATGCTTTCTTTCATATGCATCATGTCTCGCATAAATCACTGCTTCCACATGAGAACTCTCCACCGCCAGCCTTCGAGTAGCTTCATGTCTTGGTCGACAACCTCCACGTCACCCCGCTCGATCTTGGCGCTTAGTCGCTTCAACCGCTTCGACACGGTCTTGGCCACCTGTAGAGAAACCTCATTGGTGAAAACATAGAGTACGGCAAAGACAAAGAAGGCGATACTGGCGAAGCTGTTGCGCCCCAGGAGGCTGTCCTTGATGCGGGCGACTAGTGCTTTGCTGCGCCAGAATGCGTACTCGGTACTGTTGGACGCTTGGACGTCGGTTCCCGTCTTGTCGGAAGGGCGACGGAAGATGCGCTTTACGGCTGGGATAAAGGTTGCTCTAAACGCAGTCGTTAGCCAGGTCCCACGTGCTCCCCATACCATAAGATCTTACACAGCTCCACCAATGAGCCAGTTTCTCCAGCGATGGTTTTCGCCATCTTTAATTAGGCTTCCGACCTCCTTCCGCAAGACTTTGAGGTCACCGAGCAGGACACGACCTTGGGCCCTGATTTGGTCCTCTAACTCTAACGACATGGCACCATCCAGTCGACCTCTCTTTCTTTGCAGAGACAGATACTCTCGGAGCGCGAACTGAGTCCCTGTCTTGAACGTTTTCAAGTCCTGTGTCGTCGTAACAAGAGGGTTCAGGGCAGCTGAAGGTCGCGGTCCCTCCACCATGCTGGCCTGTTGAGAGTGAGGATTTGGGTAGGCTGCTGGACCAGACATATGCTCAAATGGAGCAACACTTGTCGGCCCAGGAGGCGGGCCTCCATAGACTGTCCCAGGGTAAGGAGCTGTGGGTGTGGTAGACTGAGGCGGCCGAGAGTACGGATCGACTGAGACCCCCGGCGGGGCCCCAGAAGGTGGTAGAGGGTATGACCCGGGTCCATTGTACGGACCAGGCGCCGTTGCAACCGGCCGGCTGTCCATAGTCTCGGGAAGTAGACCACCTTAACTTAGCGGCGGTGAGAGAAGGTGTTTATCGGGCTGCAACTGGAGCAGAGCGGATCAGGCGGGAATGGAACTGTGGAGGCAGGGTCTCACAGAGCTCAACTGCAATAAAAGAACAACAGAACAATACCAAGGAACAAACAATGGCAATTCTATGGACAAGGTACGGGGATGATATGAGCAACGAGAAAATAATGAGGTGGCGGGGAAGCAAGCTTGGAGGAGAGCTGGAAGCAACTCAGCTCACTGCAGGGCGGAGGCGGAGGGAAGGTGACGGGAAGGTGAAGGCGGCATAGGAGTGGGGCTTGCCAGCGAACGGGACCCACTGCGGGATGTGGGTCCATCACATCGTGTCAAGTGTGGCGGAAATTAAACACCTCCGCCACACGCTGGTTGTCGGTCGAGGCTTCAGTAACGCTGCTGGAGCTTGCCAGTCTTTCGCAATTCCACTACCACATCCGTTGTGAATCCCCTACACATACACACAATGCCCGATCCAACGAGCTCACGGTTCGCGCCGTCCAATAAGACAACGACAGAGCGCATTTCAGACAGCACCGTAGGTCTCGTGGCGCTCTCCGACTTTCGCAAGCGACGCGCCGAGGTCCTCGACCAGCAAGACCGCGAACGAGAAGCTGCACTGTCCGGCACATCTACACCAGATCGATCCAATTCCGCGACGCCAGACCCCGGGAGCGACTCGGCCAGCCCCGCGAGCAAACCGAAAAGGAAGAAGAAGAAGCTCGGCGGCAGCAAGCTGTCGTTTGGCGACGACGAAGAGGAAGAAGCGGAATCGCTGCCAGTAAAGAAAGGCAAGAAGGCAGACGGGGGCGAGGACGAGGAAAGCACATCAGCAAAGAAGTCCAAAGTCGTTGCCAACTCGTCCGTCGCGTTTGTGCCCAAGGTTATGTCTAAAGCAGCCTTGCGACGCGAGGCGGCTGAGAGAGAAGCGTTGCGCAAGGAGTTCCTTGCGATACAAGAGGCCGTCAAGGCTACGGAAATTGCAATACCATTCGTGTTTTACGATGGATCAAATATACCTGGTGGCACTGTCCGTGTCAAGAAGGGCGACTACATCTGGGTTTTCTTGGACAAGAGTCGAAAAGTTGGCGCCGAATTAGGCGTGGGAGAGAAGGCCAATGCACGAAGAGAATGGGCAAGAGTTGGTGTGGACGACCTGATGCTCGTCCGGGGGTCCATCATTATTCCACATGTGAGTGAATTATGTTTCCGTCCATTCTCCTATCCGACTGATGTTCTCTAGCACTACGAGTTCTATTTCTTTATCATCAACAAGAATGCTGGACCGGGTGGACAACAACTGTTCAACTACAAAGCCGACGCTCCACCCAAGAACGACGGGCCGGAACCCGATGAAGCCTCAGCTGCCCCCTCTGGTGGTCTGACCACCGCTGCCGCTCTCAAGGCGGCCGCAGTCAAGGCCCTGCCTGATATCAACACCCTTGAAGGTGCGACGGACGACCCTACCCTAACGAAAGTGGTGGATCGGCGCTGGTACGAGCGCAACAAACACATCTACCCAGCGAGCATGTGGCAAGAGTTTGACCCCGAGAAGGACTATGATACGGAGGTGCGGAAGGACGCCGGCGGCAACACGTTCTTCTTTTCGAGGTGAAGGCTGTTTCGTCGACTATGACTGGCGAGCCGCTATCAGAGGGTAGCTGGGGGGGCGGGGATTGGTTTTTTCACGAACGGCGACCTTGCTCGTTCATCCCGCCAGCGTGCGAAGAGTCAAGATGAGGCCCAGGATTAGCAACCATCCTGGCCAGAAGACCATGACGATCAGCATGTTACCTCCCGGGCCCAATATCGTTGTTGCAAACTCCATGAAGAACTTCTTCCTCAATTTCTGGATCCGTTTGGAGTCCCATACATGTCCCAGGGACCTGCGGATTGCCGTCGTCGTCTTCTTGAGAGCAGACAGCGAATGAACGGCAAAGAGTCGTGTTGCGATGACTGCCGACGTGAGGGCTGAGGTGACGAGAAGATGGGTGTAGAGGAAGAGGAGCGACGACGCCAAGGCCACCAATATTTGGAAACGGACCGCGATATCGAAGGTAGGCCCGAAGACGGCAATGAGGTCTAAACTTTGCCGGATGGTTACGCCCGGCTCGTGTTTGGACGAGGTCAACAGGGCGACTTTGTTCATGATGGCGACGGCAGAAGAGGTCTCGGCAAAGAGATGATCACGACCTACAACGGTGCCTTGTGTGATTTCACGGGCACCAGTGCCATCAGAAGCACGGTGAGCACGCCGCAACTCACGATATATATCAATGGGCATCTGAAGAGCAACGGCAACTGCATGCGACTCATTCGACCCTATGGACTTTTGGACTCGCGGTAAAAGCGTCTCTGAGATTCCGATATCACGCAAAGTTTGGAGGAAGATGAACACCAGCCGTGATAGTGACTGCAGCGCCTGTGGTGCTATATGCTTAACAAGAGCGATGTCTAGAATTTTCTACCCCTCCATCGTGTCGAGATTGATGCCGTGACAGCCCCACCACCACATCCTTTCCCTGGCGACAAACCATGTCGACACGTGGGGCTGGCTGTTTGCCGGATCGGTTCTCCAAGCTCACAACGGGCCTCGAGGCTGGAGGGGGAAAACAGCAACGTGGATTCTTATCGACTCTCATTCGTGGGATCTTGCAGGCTGGATGCCCCGACTTCAAACTTGGGACGTTCGCGTTACCCCTCGATGGACCCTGATCTTGAAAACTTTGAGTGTCGATTGGCTGTGCACATCAGTTTGATCTTATCGCGTTTATCGCGATCTTAATGGGGAACATAAGGTAGCTCTAGATTTCTTGACCTCTCGGAGTTAGACATGAAGGCATGTGACGGACCATTGATTCGGCCGCCGACAGTGTACAAAAGAACGCATTTCCACAGGTTGGCGTATCTGTCGTTCCCGGGATTCGTCCGACTCAGGCTGGTTGGTTGCAGGGGAGTCTGCTCCGTATTACGCCACACTATTGTCGCGCCACACTTCATGATCACCTCTGCAAATGTGGCTGGTGCCCCAGCCACCTTCATGGACAAGGAGTCACCAACTCTCTAACGAACATTCCTTGTTTCTTCACCGTCTACGGATAGCGGCAGACCGCCTTCTGTAGCCGCTTCATCTTTTTCCGGAGCATCGATGGGGAACACAAAGTGCATCGAGCGGTCAGATCCCGCCGCCGATATGTTTCTGCATTCACAAAAAGCCAGCGCATCCATCTCGAGAGAAAATTCAATTACTGGGGAGTCACAAGTCGGAAACGGACCAAAGACTGTTCGGCGGTCCTGGAGTCCCGGGTCCATGAAGTCGGTGAAAATCGAGCACAACCGCAGCGAGGTGTAACGTTTCCACGAGGGCTTGAGGCGAAATAGAAACGTTAGAGTGACGATCGAACTCACTGCTCCTCCGTCCTGTTCGACAGAGCCACGCGCCAAGATCCTTCGTCTAGGCGGGAGTGGCTGGCCAAAAGGCAACTTTGACGTTGGGCACGACCGGCTTTGTTCGCCCGCCAGTGAGGAATTGAGCGCGCCGCCCGCCCACCGGAGCCGAGGATAGCATGACGAGCATGACAAGCGCCGATCCAACAAGTGGTTCTTCGGTGGAGATGCGGCTGGAAACGAAGTTACTTCGTCCAGGCTTCCTCCCCTTCCGACTTGACTGCGCTGCATGACGGATGGGACCAGAAAACAAACGAGGTAATATGCATATGTTGCAGCCTGGCTCCATGCAGGTTCTAGTTCATCGATCTTCCTGGTCGTATCTCCTAGCGGTTGCATCACAAGCCACCGAGGAGGGCGCGGTTCATCTATTCTTCCCTCGTGAACCAGAATCTGACCGAGGAAATCCCATCCGGTCTTTGACAGCTGGTTAGGATCAGACGCAGGAGAACAACGGGACCCAAAGTGTTCAAGGTCTACCCGTGACTCTCGACAAGGCCATCGCTGCAAGCAGAGGGACTGCCATTGGAGACCATTGATGCATATCCCACTGGCATCCCCTTTGCTGTCTTGACCAACACGAGCTAGGGATCGGCAGTCTGCTCCAGGGCACACGCCATTCGAAAAAGTTGCTAAGTGCTAGCTGTCAGCTGCCGAGCCGAGCACTAGGCAGCCCCCAGCTGGATTTACGTGAAAACTTTGACGGATAATATAGAACGAGAGACAATTCTTCTAATAATACACATCTCGTCCCAACCCAAACCAGAATGGTGCCTGCAGCGACATGCCGGAATCGGGCAATTTTGATCGCTCTTCCATCCCCTCCGCTCAGCGCCGTCTTCACCCAGTACGAGCGAGCGATGCAACCCCTCACCCCTCTTTTTGTTTCTTCCGCTTGCCTGCCAACGGGCACGATCTACGCCGCGTTTGTGGGGGAAGAGGGAATGGGATGGGTGAGAAAGGATGTCGCTCGACGGCGACACGGTCCATCCAGTTGGCTGCGGTCGCAAAAATACGAGAATGGTACCCTTTGTGCTACGTCATGGTTCAACGGTGCCACCTCGCCGGCCTTACCGACTTTCATGCGATGGATGGCTGGGACTCCAGGGTTTAGACTCTTTGATGGCATGTTGTTTGGAGAGGCAACTGGCGATCTTTTGTCACTGTCGGTGGGATTGGTAAAAGTTTGACGATGCTGCTCATGTACTTAACCTGGGTGATGTCCCTCGTCTGAAGTCTTGAGATTTTGCATCACAGCAGCCTACTTCTCCCCATTCTATCTCACCTCATTTCACCTAATCTCACTTCACATCAGTACCATCGATAGGTCTCATCTAAAACATCATCCAAGACCCTCACAAGCCCTCGCCAATCCTCAAAATGCACTTCCTCTCCACCCTTCTCCTTCTCGCCCCGGCCCTGGCATCCCCAATCGCCCAACGCGAGGAGACGTGCGGCCAAAAGTCAGGCAAGCTCTCTGAGTGGACGCTCACGAGCTTCGACTACCACGCCAGCTACATCTTCAGCACGCCCTCGCACCAGAACTCATGGGGCTACATCAGCTTCAACGTTTCCAACCCGGTCCTCGACTACACCGTCGCCTGCTCCGCCGCCAGCAGCCGTCTCAATGACTTCTTCTACGGCGAGCAGGTCTACCAGTGCACGCCGCCCGAGGGCGGGGAGAGCACGACCACGTCCTTTACCTGGAGTACGCCTGAGAAGGCTGTTACGTTGAACCAGTCGTGGACTTGCAATGACGATCCCAAGTATCCGTAAGTCACCTTCCCTCGTTCACTCTCCATTTGACTATCATCGCGTGGTTTTCTCCTGTCGACGAAACATTTTCCACCGAAAACGGCACCGAATTTGGTCTGTCATGAGGGATGCCTAGGCTAATTGGAACGTGAATGATCAGAGCCCGCTACACCGCAAAGGGCGGCGCAGTCGCCGATCTCCAGTGCGAGGAGACGTTTTGGCAAAATGATAACTGGACCATTGGCCAGATTTACTCGACGCGCAACATCAACTGCGGCATCATCACGCTGCCTACCCCAATCAAGGAGATCTCCGCGGTCGCTTAGATGGAGCAATTCTCTACCACGGTCCGTGGTAATCTCAAATCCAGCGCAAGGCATAACCTCATTCGCGCATGATCGACGACGTTTACACGACTTTTATGATGGATTGGCGGATTCGCTTTCACGACACCCCTTCGAAAGATGCTTCGCATTTTTGCATAGTTCCGGCGCGTAGAAAAACCTTCCCGGTCATCGACCATAATAATGGGAATTTGGATGCTATTTCGAGACTGCAATAGGACAGGGAGCATATAGAAGCATGATTGGGATAATTCTAATGATCTAACTCTATTTCACAATCAAATGGGTGCGCGGACTGTAGTATCATGATGAATGTGACTTGATATGAAGGCCAGAGAATGTCCACACGCAGTCCTTCTGGTCTATCAGAGGCCCCTCATACCCTCAGCTACCTACCTACCTATTGATGAGACACTGGGGACGAGCAAACATGAGACACGTCTTTGGACCGCAACCTCGAGACAGTTGAAACATGGAAATAGCAAAGTAATTGGGTACTTTATGGGTATCTTCGTTTCTTTCCTGCCACCAGCTCGCTCTTCGTCCTCCGCACCTCGGAGACTTCATCCCAACGTCAAAAGGATTCCCGCTCAGTCATCAGCCGTCTGCCGACACAACCACGGATCCTCCATTAGCTCTCGGGCAGATAACCTGTCCTCTGGTCTCCACTGCAGCATTTTTCTCAGAAAGACCAAGAACTCGGCTTGCTCCGCTCCCTCAAGATTACACTCCTCCTCTTCAAACGAAGACTCTGGTATCTCGCCGTCGACAATCAGTTTACCTGTCTCTCACGCGTCAGTCCCATCCAGCCTGCATTCAAGGACACTTCCTCTCCTAAGTTTGATGACAAACCTTCTTCGTCGAAAAATTCTTTCCATGATGACCCCCTATCCAGCAGATCATCGGGCGGGGGCCCAAGCAAAGACACTGTCCTTGCAAAGTGCGCTGCACGGGATGCATTCCGATCATGATGTCGAGTGTTGTAAAGAAGCTTCCCTTCGAATAAATCCCAAACCTGGTAACAGTACAAAGGTCAGCGTCAGCCTTCGTAAGTCTCTTCGCCGTGTGCGGATTTTTTACCATCAACCCTAAAGCCCAGATATCAATCTTTTCGTCCCAGGGGATTCCGAGAATGATTTCGGGCGCGCGGTATAGATCCGGCATCACCTCTCCTTCGAAGTCACCTTCTCCGTATTGAGCATCGCCGAAATCTGAAATGACAGGATCACCTGGATCATCTGGGATCTCGAGCCCTGTTGACGCGTAGGTGGTACGATCACCCATGACTTTTCTCGCGCTCGGGAGCCTCCATTCTTCGTTCACCAGGTCGTCTAATATTGTTGTGTCTGAGATGGATAGCATGATGTTTCCATCTTGGATGTCTAGCTTAAGTGTCAGTGAAGCTAGTCTGGGCGATGATGCAGAAAACACTCTTTAAGGCGCCTGGCGGTATAGCAAGGTAATGCAAAAGCACAATTATCTTTACCTGTATGGACGACATGTGCAACTGAATGCATGTAGTCAATGCCTAGTAGCAAGCCGTATACCAACCCCTTCAAGAGATTCTCTGGCAGCTTGCCGCCTGCTAGTTCTCTAATGTCGGCCAGGGACAGGCCTAGAGTCTCGAAGACCAAGCACACATGCGGACCAATTTTCCCCTGCAGCTCAAAACTGTCCTTGATGGACCGAAGGAGTTTCTGTCCTGGATGCTCAGACTCGAGGCGTTCCAAGTGACGAAGCACTACTTCTTCATTGCGAGCCTGTCGATGCCCAGTCTCGTAGACTTTCAAAGTCGCATAGCAGTGCTTCCTAGACTGCTAGTCAGCTAACTAGGCCTTCAAGTAAACCCCACACATACTCAAGATCACGGCACAACCATACTGTCGAAGCTGAGCCGAACCCCAATTTCAATAGCACCTGATATCGCGTAACAAAGACTTGGCCAATGTGGACCGGGTACCACTTGTCGGGGTTATACCAAGCAAAAGCCTCCTCTTCCAGACGAACCTCTTGGCCGTACAGCTCTTCCGGTTCGGCATTGGGTAGCCGCCGTGGGGGCGAGGCGTCTCTCTCCGCGGTCATCGGCGTCAGGGAGCTGCGGCAATGCGGTTGAAGTAAGCGGTGAGGTGTGGACTTGCGGACATGGCGTTGTTGCGCGCAGGGTTTGCTCGAGGCTCCAGCTACTCTTTTTTGTGGGGTGGAGTTGCGAGATGAGGTGTGGTGGTGCGGGCTTCCCCACTAACAAAAGTCTCGTGTGACCACCCACTTGCAACTTGACTTGGCTTCCAGCCACCTCCATTTCTCTTCTGCGCTGGAGCTGGGTCAGTGAGCCGATCAAGTGTAGATTCCGAGATGATATGCAAACACTCAGAGAACCTAATGTTTGAAAATCGTTCGTCAGCGATTTTCGCTAGAGTTTTAGTGGGAATTATTATCCGCCATTGTAGGACTCGTGGTAACGCTGGTAGATACGAGTGCATCATTGATCAGGCCTATGACTTTAGTAACCTCTACTAAAACTCTCAACGAGGTGACTGGATAATTTGTTTTTGGCTGCGAAAATCCTCCATCTTCTTTTCTTCCTCTTTTTATCTTCAAGACTCTAGTGTCCTACTCGGCTTTGTGTAAGCATGGCAGAAGTCGAACCCAGGGGCTGAGCTTCAGAAGTGAATTATTTTGCATGATCAACATTCAGAAGGGAATACGGGAAAGTCACTCCAAGACTTATCCCATCAATTACTAGATGGCGTCACTACATCCATCTCCAGTCTTTTTCTAATATTGCTCTGATTCGAGATTTTTCACAGGCGATTAAGGGGAATTGAGCAAATATGGAGAAAGGTTGGAAACGGATATAGTGACGTTATCTAGCAGTTGATGATATACGCGATGATGATACAGCGTGAAGAGTACGAGGAAAGGTAAAATAGCGGAATTGGTGCAATCTAAGTCTAACTTTCAACGGCAATGGACGGGAGAGGATCTTCCTTATCTAGCACCGCCAAAAAATTGCACTCAAATCTGAAATCATCACGGTACAGACACAAAAAAGAGCATCTATCGAGCGCCATGCGCCTGGAGCTCTGTTTGAGTCCACTCCCAGAGCTTCATAGCCTGTTCATCATCCTGTCCGTCCTCGCTCGCAAATCCCGAAACTCCAACAAGCTTGTAGTACTCTCCACTCTCGACTTTTCTCGAGACAGACGCCCAGAGTTCGGTCCTTGCGCGCTTTTCTACGGAATAGACGAGCCACCGATTCGCAAATTGCATCAAGTACTGCATAGCTTTCGGTGACCTAGTCGTGCTAGCCGCCAAGTTGGTGCTGACGACGCCAGGATGAACAGCTGTGACTTTGAGTTCCGAGTACTCTTTTGCCAGGTGTCTCGCTCACAGAACATTTGCCAGCTTGCTTTGAGAGTAGCGCTCCTGAGGACCTAGCGGCTCTGCCTCTGTCTTGAGATTGTTATACCGAATCCTCCCCTTGGAGGTATAGGCATGACCATGAGAAGACAATGAGATGACTCGAACGTCAGGATTGGCATCTCGCTCTGCGGTCTTCTGCAGCAGTGGAGAAGAAGTTTCGCGAGAAGCGCATGTCCCATATGATTGGTTCCAAACCGAACTTCATAGCCCTCGGTGGTCAGCCCTGGTGGTATTGCCATGATGCCAGCGTTCAGCACATCCATCAAGATATCAAGGCGTTCTGTTTCCGAGAGCACAGCAGTCGCGGCTTTTTTGATAGAATCGAAAGATCCGAGGTCAAGTTCAAGCAGTTTGATGGGTGCGCCGGGAATTTGCTGCTTGATCTCGTCTGCGGCAGCTTGGGCCCTGTCGAGGCTTCGCGCGGTGAGGAGTATCTTTGCTGGCTTGTGTAGAGAAAATTCTAAGACGCACTGTTTCTCAAGACCCGAATTTGCGCCGGTGATCAAAATGACTTGACCCCCGAAGCTGGGGATGTCCCGCTCGGGGCTGAAGTTGACGGCTGTATTAATGCAAATCGGCATGTTCAATGATCAAATTCTTGCGTCAATGCCTACATGTAGCTTCGAATACCAGAACCGTGATTAAGTTGTGCGGCCAAGACAATGCCCTCGTGCGCCATTTGTGCCTTTGTATCTTGCCTTGGTCATCCCATCTGCGAGTCGAGCTTCCCCGTTGCGGGTGTCTGCGCCCACTAACGGGGCCTTCATTGTCCCGGCTCCATCTAGAAGCAGTAATACTACATCTTCGAGACTTCTGACGCTATGCTTCTGGGCCAATGGTAACGCTTAGCTGGTCGTTTAAGCGTGGCACAGTAGACGCGCGATGTCTGTCAGACGATGTGGCTGGGATCGCCACGAAGTTAAGAATGCCTTTTAGTCCGACTGAAGTGTAAGATTGCAGACGACAAAGTCTATCGATAGACTTACGGGTTCATGGTTAGCCCGGCATGGCGGGAAAGGGACTTTGGTCATTGCTGCATCTCATCGGTTGAGCTCGAGAGTGATATCGTGAACATTAACAAAGTGATATCGACCAATGTACGAGGAAGATGTTCGATTGCGAAGAAAACGTGAGACAAAGTCAAATGGATATAGCCGAGTGCGAGCATTTTCTCGCAAGCACTTATGCACAATGCAGTATTCTACCAAATGCGAATGTGACTGCCGTTGCATTGCAGTCTGATCGACACCGCTTGAGTCACCCGACCGGCACGGTGAGAAGAATTGGGGTTAGGCCGTCAGCGCCTCGAATCCTATTCGCGCCACAATTTGGTGTCGATCAACCGACTGGACCCTAAGTTAACCTCGGAATACGTGAGCATCATTTCTATAAAGTTCAAATACATTAACTCCATGATGAAGAACCGAAATTGAGACAGAAATGCTGAGAGAAAACATCTCAAATCAACCTAGGTAATACTTTCTCATTTTTAACTCTCATCGGTTCTTCACCAGACATCGGTTCTTCACCAGACTTGGTCATCGACCACATTCTGAATCTGTCAATCGCCAGCGTCAATATGAACCCAGTTAACACTAAGCCGTACACTCTTCCATTAGACGCAACCTGGTTGAGTAAGTCTCACATTGCTACGAATCGCTTGAGTTGACGCGACTTACTCACTCTCAGTCACCGGATGTTCGTCGGGTATCGGCCAAGCACTGGCAACTCTCATCGCAACTAAGCCGAATCATCGCTTGGTCGCAACAGCTCGGAATCCCACCGACCTGGAATACCTGCCCGATGATAACGGAAACGTCCTCAAACTTGCCCTGGACGTGACGTCTCCCGCCTCGGTGAAAGATGCATTCGATGCAGCAATCGAGCATTTCGGCAAAGATTTCCATCTCGATGTCGTGGTCAACAATGCTGGGTATTCTTTGTCTGGCGATACGGAGTCTGTGACCGAGGAACAAGCTCGCCTGGAAATCGAAACTCTCTTCTTCGGGACGGCTCGGGTGACTACTCGTGCTATCGAGAGTATGCGACAGTCCGAAACACGGCGAGGCGGTATCATCTTCAACATCTCCTCTCTAGCTGGACAATGCGCCTTTCCCGGTCACGCGTACTACCACGCGGGGAAGTGGGCCGTTGAAGGGTGGACTGAGTCCGTGGCAAGGGAGATGCATCCTGATTGGAACAGTAAGCTGGCATCATATCTCACATGGAGACTCTCGATAGTCGCTGACGTCCTTCAGTAAACTTCTGTATTGCCGAGCCGAGTGGTGTTCAAACCAACTTCGAGGGGCACAGCAAAGCGCGCACCGAGCCGCATCCAGCTTACGCAGGCAAAGACATGCCGGCTCGTGTTCTCGAGAGATACGTGGAGATGGGAATCAAATCGGGAACCCTGAGCAAGCCGTCTGCGATTGCAGACGCGATCTACAGTATCGCGTCGAGCAACAGATGCATTCCGTTCCGTGTTCCTCTCGGTGAACCTGCTTGGGGTTTCATTAAGCAGAAGCATGAGATTTGTTTGAAGGAACTAGAAGACGTTAAGGAACTCAGTCTGTTGATTTCTAAGACACCAGGTCATTAGGAGCTCAGGGTGTGCCGGATACCTTAAGTATGGATGCAAAACTTGGAATAAGCGGGGGCACTGGCAGCGTGAACTTCCCTGTCTCTAATTCAAGAGGTTCTGCCTATGTTTCACTGCTTCAGTTTGTAGTGCTATGATAACGCACGTTGTCCATGCCAAATTGACCTTTTGTGAAACGTAGGCTGTTGTGAGGTGCTCTGCCTGTTTGATGCTTGCTGAATAAATACGTCGTTGCTTATCCGCACTTCAGGTCCATTTCAAGGGCTTCCCTCCAGCCAAGTCAGGGTATCTGCGTTGACAGATAGTAATTCAATCCTCACACAGAACGGCAATAACCTGTCCAATTACGCCCGTCTTTCGTTACCAGAACGTCATTAATTCGTACCCAACCGGCCAGCCGTAGGAGGACGGCTCGCAATATGTACATGTATTATACATCTTGAGTCTCTTCCTCAAGCAGGCACCAGATGGATGGAGCTCAACCAACACAACGGCCCTGTGATGCCGCGTGGAGCTTGCCCCGAAATCCACATATTAGGAGTTCCCGTCGTCTCATTATCGCCCAACCTCAACGTGATAATCCTTGGTGACTTGGATTCCCGAGTTGTAGTTTCCTCCGTCATCGGAACTTCGGTCGTCCGCAAATGCCGTTGTTTGGCTTCTGGCACCCTTCGGGTTGACGATATGCTCTTGGCTTCCTACGGACGTATCATCGAGCTTCTGGTGACCGTTTCTAACCCGAGACATCTTGTGGGAGCTGCCGGTCCCGCCGAACGTGACAAGGCCGGAGTGGGGAGTACTCGGATTCGTGGAGCCAGTGCGTCGATGGGGGAAAAGCGGCTTGATTGACGGAGCGTTCGTGCAGATAATTGCAACAACCTGATAATAAGTCGATTAGTCAAGATTAAGACGAGGATTTAGGATAAAATAGCTCCTTAACTCACCGTTTCACGGATGGACCAGTTCAGCCCCAAGTCAAGTCGCTCGGGGGTGCTCAAGCAGATAATGCACCGTAATAACGTGCAAATTACGATGAAGAAACCAGCACAGAACATCAGGCCGAAAGCAAATTTCCTGTAGCTCTTGTTAGAATCCCAGAACGCGTTTATGGTTCATCCGCCACTTACTTTTGAAGGGTGGTCTGCAGTCTCCACAACAACGGGATGGGAATGTACATGATCATGATGTCGGTTCTAGTAACACGCGTCAATCAAGAGACATCATGCAAGCTGCGGATGCAATAAGACTTACACGACGTTTGTAGTCACCAACGCGTAGTACTTGGAGGTATTTTGTGTGCAATCATCTGACGGACGTTAGATTTTGGCGGTGCGACAAGTTTCGAAGCGCCACATTAATGTACTCACCTCCAGCATACGGATACACTTGCCAAAGCTTGTGCATGGGACGGCAGTGTCCAGTAACAACTGCGAGTGTAGCCAAGTAGGCAAAGACCGTAATCACAGACACCACCTTGACAAGGCGTTCCTCTGGCAGTGTTTTGCTGCGAATTTCTAATTTAGCGCGTTTCTTTTGAGTCGGAGTTGGATGAACAGCAACTTACGTGACTCTAGAGAAAAAGAAGAGCATGATACCCTTTAGACTCCAAATCATGCTGACGTAGACATACCACGCAGCAAAGAGCCATTTCGCGCCAGTTTCGTGGCTCTTGTATTGTTCCGGCGTCAGGCTCAACGCGACTTCGTCGGTCATACCCGTGATGCTTCCCTTTTCAACTAGAGAATGGTCGTTAGAACAAGAGTAAAGTTTTCTTGGCACGAGAAGTCTGTTCTTACCGATGATTTGACACATCATAACCTCCAACTAAGGTTCATTGTGTTGTCAGCGGAGCCCGCTCCGTAGTGTGGGATGGAATAAGGGTTCCCCTTCCAAGGACAACAACTAACCGTGAAGAATACAATGGCCGCCACGGCCAAATAGTCGTCGCCCTGCCATTTCAAACCCACCACCTTCTTGCATCTCGTAAAGATTCGTAGGAATAGGACCAAAATTCCAATGGCATATTCCACCCACATCTCAATCACCGCGGGCATCAACGCTTCAGCGACCGCCATTGTTGCGAGTTGTCGGAGTTGACCGCAAATACGCGCACAAACACACACACACTCGTTCTTAATCGGGGATAGGCAAAAACAAAGCGCTTCCAAAGAGTTGAAGGAGTAGACCTGCGGGTAATGCTGAACCGGCTAGACAGACGCCATTTTTGGGCACCTCGTGCTTAAGAATCGGGTCGCGAAAAGGTTGCAGACTCTGCCGCCTGCAGGACCCATCTGCAGGCTACTTCCAGCCTGCAACCGGCAGTTAGGATCGACCAAACCCTCGTTCATTGGGTCCAGGGGAACGACTGGAAGACATCGAGATACTGGACCGTGATTGTGGACTCAGGTAGTAATTCTACGTTACAGGAAAGCGTTCTCAGGGTTGGAGGAGACAACATAGGCCCACAGTGCTGGATCGGTAATGACGAGAAAACCCCCTTTTCTCTCTTCCTCGCTGGATGTGTCTGGCCAAACACACCAAGGTAGATTGTCTGAGAGGTTAGGATGTGGAGATCGGCAAGCAAATTTCCACATTAGAAAGTTCTGCCCATTGGACATGACTTAGCAAGCTAGCAGACAAGGACTGCACTGGCCCGTGGAAGGGAACGTCAAACTGACTTGGCAGCAGAAAGCAAGGGCTCCTGAGGCATTTGCGTGGCATCGGAGAAAACGACATAACATGACTTTAGTCCCATGCGGGATTCGTAATAATGGAGAGTTCAGTTTGTACCTGGTTGCGTGAACTATGAAGTTGTACTTATGGATCTGAAGGCTTCGTAAAGCTGTTGGATCGCCACGAACGGGAACCACCATGGAACCCCATTGTCGACCATCATCGACGGATGGACAGTTTAGATCTCGGTCGGCGGTCGCTCATCCCCCAAACCAGGCCATTTCAGGTAAGACAATAGATCCCTCCCGT